GGGCAGAGGTTCACTGAAATGTCCAAAAGACGCACCAAAAGTGGCGAAAGGACAAAAAGCAGGCAAGCATTGGTAGCTAAAGTGGGGTGTGGGGAGAGCGGGAGGACAAGGACGAGGACGAATACCAAAACGGAAGGACATAAAGTAACGGCACTAATGATGGAGCACACGCCATTCGCTGCGAGAATGGAGCGAGAGATAGAAGAGACAACAACAGCAGGGAAGGAAAAACAAAAGGCAACTAAAAAAAAAATATTATGTTTTATTTTTTATAAATATATTTGAAATGAAAATTCACAGAAATCAAAAAGAAAAATCTTTTGTTACATATTAAAATATTTTTTAACATTATTATTTTTGTTTAATTTTAAGAAAATAAATATTAAAAAAAAACGTAAAAATTGCATTTTTTCATATAAAGATTAACAAATAAATAAATAACTAATTCTAGCTTAGTACAAATTATTCAAAAACCGTAGATTTAATATCATAAAAATTGTGACAGCCAATTTTTCATTAAATAAAAAAAAATTTACCATTAAAAAAAAAGTTTGACAAAATATTGTAATATGTTTATTTTTATTAAAAATTCCAAGACAAATATTACAAAGAAAAAAATGCCGACTGCATCCTCTGGGTTTTATTTTCGCTTTAAATCTTGGTCAAAAAATGTGTTTCAATAATATTGCATACTTTTTGGCAGCTTCTCAATTGATTTCCAAACCGTAGCTATTTTTATTTAAATATATAAATATATTATTATTTTAGAAACAAACATTAAAAAAAAAGCTCAAAACTCAAAGGTATTCAAAGGTATATTATAGACACCTGAAGTCCCCCCATTTATATGGAAATTGTCACCTGTATTTTCCGTTTCAAGACGCTCGCCGGCATACACCTGAAAGGCGAGCTAACAAACAACAAAAACGAGAAGGAAAAAAAAACAGCAATCAAATGGCAGCATGCTAATGAGACTCTAAACAAGCCCCCGCAGGCGCCAGGGCCATTAACCCTTGCCACCCCACCCCCAGAATGCGAGCCGAAAACGAAACGCATGCCAGCACGCTTCTCATAACCCTTAACAGACTGGAAAACAAAAAAAATGGCAGGAAAAACAAACAGCAACAAGCTAGCAGCGTGCCTTGGCAATAAAATTTAAAAGTGTGATTATTTTTAAGTAAGCGAAAGCAAAAATACCCAAGAGTTGAGGGGGGTTAAGCCAAATAAATAAAAATAAATAATATAAGGCATGCCTAGGGGAAGCTTTCAGCGCGCAGACTAATTATGATTTGTGGCAGGCCAAGAGAGCTAATTGTAACTAATTTTGGAAGGCTAAAAATAGAAGAGAAATAAGGCAAAGAAGCCGCCTAATTTGAATTCAAATTTGAATTTGAATTCAAAAACTATCGATAACAGCTAGATAATGGTTAGACAGTGTATACACACTTTGCTTTTTTAGTCTTAAAGTATATTTCGGTGGTTTGAAACCTTGCTATACCATAATTATAACAAATTATGGTTAAATTTATATAATATAAAAATAATTATATATTATTTATACATTATACAAACAAAAAATATTACAAATAAAATTTCAGAAATATACAAAAAAAAGTTTTAGAAAATGTATAAAAATGTTTGCTATAATATCATTTTCACACCTTGAAAAATTAATAAATAAATAAAACAATCGTAACGTTTTAAAATATTAATATTTCCCGACCTTGAGTCACGGGAAACATATTTTTCTTAACGATTCCCTGCTCAGTAATATTTGAATTTAAATATTTGAAAAAATGAACATAACAAAATTTACTAAAAACAAGTAGGCTAGATTCTAGACTGAAAGCTAAACTGTCAACACTGATACCTAATGTCAGGGCGTTCATTCCCCAGATTTGTTCATTTTATTTCCAGGCCTCGTCCAGTCTAGTTGACTTTCTTTGAAATTCCAAATTTTATTTTTATTTTTTTAGTTTTTCTTTTGTGTTCTTTATTTAAATATTTTCAGACATGTTTGGAATGTCAGAAGGAGCATTAACGAAATGCTAGTTTATTTTTTCTTTTATTTTATTTTATTTTATTTTATTTTAAATTTCTCAGATTTTCTATGGCCTTCAGAACGTGTCTATTGATTTTTTTGGGATTTCGAAAGGAGCATTAAATAAATGCCTATAATTTAAGCACGTGGCGGTTTACCTTTTTAGAATGTCAGAAGGACCCATATATATTTTATTATTATTTTTATTGACATTTTTATTTTTGTTTATTTTTATATGTGAATGCTTTCAAAACGCGTCTATTTATTTTTTGGGGAATTTATGAATAAATGTTTTCGATGTTTTTATTTTTTATTTTTTTTACTATCGTATTTTAATACCTTTCTTTAATCATGTCTAAAGCTTTAAGAACGTGTCGATTTATTTTTTTAGCGGGATTTTATAAAAAATGTTTTAGATGTTTTTATTAAATTTTTTTATTAATTGTAAACTTCATGCCATTACATGACGGTTCACCTTTTTTGAGTTTTGGAATGTTTTTTCATTTAATATCTTTTGTCGATTGCCATTACACTGAAAAAACTATTGAATATTTTTACTTTTTTAAAAACCTTTGTTAAGATAATATATCTGAAATGAACATTTACACATTTCCATCCTTGGCTAGAGGTAAACGGGGTAGTTGTTAATAAACATAATGATATTGTTAACATTAAACAAAAATTAAATAAAAAGAAAAACAAATAAAAATAAATAAATTAAAAAAAATAAATTAATTAAAAATAAATTTAAAAATAAATGAAAAATAAATAAAAAATAAATAAAAAATAAATAAAAATAAATACAAAAATAAATACAAAAAAGAATACTATAAAAATAAATACAACAAAAAAATAAAAGAAAAATAAATACAAATACAAAAAATAAAAATAAATACAAAAAAAATAATAAACAAAATATAAATACAAAAAAAAAATAATACAAATAAATACAAAAAAAATAATAATAAAAATAAATACAAAAAAAAAAAAAAATACAAATAAATACAAAAAAAAATAACACAAATAAATACAAAAAATAAAATAAAATAAAAACAAATCCAAACATAGTGAACAAACACAAATTGAACAAAAAATGAACAGCAAAAAGAGTGAACGTCGCTTCCATGGTTTTAATTTACACTGGAATGCCATTGGAAATTCGATTGCCATGTCGATATCGATGACTTACAACATTAAATTTACCTTCTGTAAATAAAGAAATTTTAATAAAAATGGAAACGCTCTGGCTAGGCCACAAAGTAAATTCATTGTTTTATTAATAAGTTGTTTGTTTACAAAAGTTGTATAAAGTTTTGGTTTTTGTTTGTTTGTTTTTTTTTTTTTTTTTTTTTTTGTTTTGTGTTCTCGTGTTTTGTGTGTTCTTTGTAAATTGTGATTACTGGGGGTGTTACTGGCAAATATTTTTGTATTTTACACATTACAATTAGCAATAACTACACTAAAATACAGTTATGCAGCGACGACTAGACTAGCAAGGTTCTCCTGCTCCACCAAGGGAACTAAGTACTTCTCTTTCTTCTCACTAGAGCTGGAAAAGAATCGATGTTTGGAAAGTAATCATTAATCTTTCATCGAATCGATGAAACATCGATGAAACATCGATGTTTACTTCAAAAACATCGATTGTTTTCCAGCTCTACTTTTCACTGGTTCGGTTCTTCCCCCGTTTTTTGTACAGACTTGGGTTTTTTGTTTTTTGTTTTTTTTTAAGTACAATTAATTAGCTACAGTGTTCTTTGGATGCGTTTTTTGGATTAGGTGGGCATGGGGAGCAGGAAAGGGATACAATATATATATTAAATATATAAAAATAATACACAAGTTCACTTCACGGCTTTTGCATAACAATTTTTGCTTTCTTGTTTCTGCTTCGATTTTGTTTTCATTTCTTTTCTTATTTTTTCTTCTGTTCTTCTTCTTTGTTTCGTTTAAGGACTAGATTAGGAACCACATTTGTACAGTTTTCGTTTTTCTTTTTTGTTTTCTCTCAACTTCTCTTCTGCTAATTAAGTAAGTTTTTGTGTTTTTTTTCTTTTTAAGTCTAAATTTTGTTACAAGGTAAAATGTACAAAGTAAAGATTTTCTTTTCCATTTTGTTTTGTGTTTTTTCTCTCTTTTTTGGTTGCAGCTCTCTTCCCCCCCCCCTTAAAAAAAAATACTTAACATTATTAAACACATTAAATATTAAAAAAAAAAAAAAAAGTTAAACAAAAATTAAACAAAAAATCTTTACAAAAAATTACCTTTAAAAAAAACAGTCTAAAAAAATAAAAAAAAAATTTACTAACTCTAGGATGTGTATTTTAGGTTAGCAAATAAATAGCGGGCTTTTGCGGCGAGTGGTTATATGACCTTGGCCTAAGCCTTTTGGTCCTTTGGCAAGCATTAACATTGATGGCTACTCCTACTCCTTCTGCTCCTTCTTTTTGGCACTCTCAAAAACTAGACGTAAATAAATATAGTAAATAGTAATGGCTAAGGTAGGATAGGATTAAGGAGTAAGGATTAAGGTAAGGGTAAGGATAAGGGCTGCCTGGCATGCTTAACTACAACTTGAACTGGCGGCACCTCCTTCCTGGCGCTTCAAGCGCTTTGCTGGCGGCGGCGGCGAAGATTCGTGGACTGTTGTGGGTGGTGGCGTTGCTACACCCACCACGCCCACATCCTTGACCAAGGCATCCTGTGAGTCATCCTCATCTACATTGGGCAGCATTAAATCTCTAATGGCCTGGCTATCGTCGTCGTCGTCGGTGGGATTCTGATCCTCTTCCTCCTCCTCCTCCTCCTCCTCATCCACATCCACCGACCGTTCATCATCAATATCCACAATGGAGATAATGTCGCTGCTGCTGCTGCTGCTGCTGCTCTCAATATCGCTCCATAAAATCCCCACCAGGCCATTATTCCCAAGTTTAGTGCCGCCCCCTTTCGCTGAGGACTAGCTGCCGCTGTCCTGCGTTGGCTTAACATTCGCGGATCCGGATGAAGAGGAGGCGACTGCGGCGGCGGCGGAGGAGGACGAGGCACTAGCAGCGGCGGCGGCGGCAGCAGCTTGTACCACAGCTGGTGAAAGAAAGCTGGCGCCCGGAAAGTGACACGGACATGCCGGATTTGAGAAAGGTCCTCCTCCCTCCTGGCTATTGATCTTGCGCGTCAGCGTTAGCCAGTAATCGGTCTGGGCATTGAGCAGATCTATCTTTCGCTGCGCCTCCTCAATCTTCAGCGAGTCCATTAAATCCTGATGCGGTCTCTTTACCCCTCGTCCGGTTCCTTCACCGCTGCCTGCCGTATTATTAACCAAATTGATGCCACTGCTGTTGGCACTGCTAATGCCACTACCACTTCCTGCTCCACTGCTGGTATTTAGGTTACCGCAGGGCACCGTCACCGCTAGACCATTGTAGCCATTAAAGCTGCCAGCTGCTCCAATAGCCACGCCGCCGGTCTTGTCCCGCGACAGGTGAGGATGATGATGAGAATGATGTTGGTGCTGCTGCTGCTGCTGTTGCTGGTGATGATGATTCCCATTGAGCAGTAGCTGCACTCCATTGGCATTGCTATGTAAACCGGAAGAGCTGTTTGTATTGCCGTTTCCCACGGATGTGGCAGCGGCATTGTTGTTGTTGTTATTGTTATTACCCCTCTGAAGACGCGGCAACTGAAGCGTGGGCGGTGTGCGACGATTGGTGCCAGCAGCAGCAGCAGCCACCGAGGATGAAGTGGCAGACACAAATGCTGTGGCCACATTGATGGCAGCCTGCAGTGACTGTGGCGGATTCACGGCGGACAGACCCAGGCCATTGAGAAGCGTATGCTGTTGGACTTGTTCCGCTGTCAAGGGAAGCACAGAGCCATTAGAACCGCTGGTTATGCCATTGCTAAGCGAGATCCCTGAAGCACCACTCGAGGAGCTAGCACCATTGCCATTCTGTGGCGTCTTGTTAATATTGGCAAAGCTGCCCACACGTATGTGTCCCACCGTTTGAATGGTAATGTCCGGTTTGGATGTGGAAACATAGCTACCGCTGGAACTCGCGGATGTTTTGGTAGAGCACACCGGTGAGCTGGCGGCGGCACGGCGTAAGGGATCATTTAAGGATCCTCCATTGTTGTTGTTATTGTTGTTGTTGCCGGGCAGGCAAGAGGAGGAAGCGGATGAGGAGTTGACTCCACCGGGACCAGAGGATGCTACCTGAAGCTGGCGTAGATCTGTGGGAAACAGGACATCATCCTCCTCCTCCAGGCACACTTCCGGCGCCTTGGGGCTCAGGCAATCATCATCATCGTCATCGTCCAGGCAATCCATGCCATTGTCTGTCTGCTCGTTGTCGCTGATTGTTTCCGACTTGATGACGATCACATCCGTGTCCATGCCTTCGATATAAAGCTGAAAGTTTAAAAAAATTATGTGTTATTGTTAGTAAAAATTCAATTTGTTGTTATTGTTGTTGTGTGTTTGTGTTTGTGTTTGTGTGCGTTTGGACTTACCCCCACTTTGGAGTCATCAAAGTCATCGCCATGATGACCATTCCCTTGAACGCCAGGACCTCCCTGTTTACCGCCGCCCGCTCCCTCCGGTGACAGCTGCTCGGCAATGTATTGGGCAACGGACTCCTGCTGCGAGAGTGTGTTTAGGAGATCCATAAACGAGTGATTGCTCTTGTCCTCGCCGCACAGATCCTTCTTGAGCAGGAGCTTCATGTTTTTGTAAAGCTGACGTAGCTGCTTGGCGCTGCGCTGATGATAGACCTTCGAATTGAAGTCCTTGGCAATCTGTAGCCATACCTCATCCTTTTTGCGATTGGACTCGGCATCGGTGCGCTTGTTCTCGATCACGTCCTTGTACTGGGCGGCATAGCTTAGCACCATATTGCGCTCCCGCTGCGTGTACCGGGGAGTCTTCTCCATTTTCAGCCGTTTGCAAGACGACGACGTCGTGAAGCTGCAGAAGGGAATATCGGGGGGGATTACATTACAGGTGAAATTGATTTGACAGGTAAGACAAAGCTATTCGATTTTTGCGGTGGCGCCTCCATTTCAATCGCCATTCCACCTCAAAAAGGAAGTTGCTGCCTATCGTGAAATCGATTTCAAAGCCTAAACAAATACGTACAATCGATTTACATTGCAAAAAAAGTCATCTCTGGTGCGCCTTAATTAAATCTTATTTTATTTACAATGTATTTCATTTAATTAATAATTAAATAAGGGATTTACATCATAAACTCCGGATGGAGGGGAAGGGGGTATTTATGAAAAAAATATCTTTAAAAAAAAGGGGATTTACATCAGTATGGAGGGGAAGGGGGTATTTATGAAAAAATCTTTAAAAAAAAAGGATTCCAATTGAAAAAGCTTTCAAGCACTCCAATTGGAATCTAAAACTGACAAATTTCACATTCTATCATTCTATATATCATTCTATATATAAATCTATGTACATAAATATCTATTGTTGTGGTCTATGCCGTTCTTTAATTAATAAAATAATAAAAACAAAGCAGACGCAATTGAGACACACACTCACACACACAGGCAAGCATATGGGCCCCAGCAAAACACACACACACACAGGCGCATAAGAGGACTCAGGCGTGCGAGTGAGAAGCTGGTGGCGCAGGCTCACAATATTCCAGGATTCCCGGATCAGAGAGATGTATCTCTCTCTAAGCTGCTTGTGGCTCTCCCTCTCTCTCTCTCCCCCAAACCCAAGTAGCGCAAGGATGGAGCAGCAGGCAAAAAGAAAAACGCTGCTGAGTGTGTGTCCCGATATCTAATCTCACAAACTGGAGATTAGCGTGAAACTCTCCCTGACACACACACAAACAATACAGATACAGTGAGTAGTGGTGGGGGTAAAGAAGGGTGGGGGTGGTACTCACGTTTTGAGGCCGCGCCAAAGCCGGCGAACGGGCAAAGAAAAGTGGGTGGCAATGGGCGCGACAAGAACCGAACGAAGCAAGCGCGCGAGAGGGAGAGAGAGTAGGAGTCGGGGTTTCGAAGAGAACTCAGCGAGCGGTGTGGAGTGTAGCACAGTGGAGACTAGAAAAAGTGAGTGCGAGAGAGGGAGAGTGCGAACGTACTAAACGAACGCGCGACTAACTTCGCGAGCGGCAGCGATGAGGCGCAAAGCTCGACTGAATTTGAAATTCGAATTCGGGCACGCTCAGAAAGTACCGTTGGAGTGCAGCAGCGGCATACACCACACTCTAGGGGCAGCGACGTCGACGTTGGGCAAACAAAAATAGGAAACCGCGCAGAGGAGGAAGAAGCAGCAGCAGCCGCCGCAGAAGAAGAACCGTAAAGGAGAGAAGAGACTGTTGCCCACCTCCTGCACCTCCCATCTTCGTCCACACACACACACACACACACACACTCACAGCAACAACAGCTGGGCCTGAATGAGTTCGACTGTTTTGCAAATAAAAGCATGCGCGAGCGAGTGTGTGAGACGTAATTAAAGCTTGAAACCGAGTTTACAACAACAAACCGTGCAAAGAGGCGAAAAAGAATAAGAAGAAGCTCAAGAACACAATACTGCTAAGCGAAGGAGAGAGCGAGAGCGAGCGAGGGGGTACGGCAAAGGCACAGAAGCTCCCCAACAGTGAGCGCAGTTTATAAATAAATGCACAGGCACAAACACACTTACAGCCGCTCTCAAGCTGCAACAAAGTTGGGGTTGAGACTGGAAACCGAAACTGTAAAACCTCGACACCATAAGCTGACGTGTGGAATTGCAAAGGAGAACTACAGGGACAGACCCAGAAAGAGCCAAAAAGAGAGAGGAAGAGGAAGAGGGAGAGGGAGAGGGAGAGGACTGGGGCTGAAATTGAATTGGGGAAATAACTGTAAATAATCCCACACAAGCCGTTTTAATTAATGAATTGACAATATAAACTTAAGAGAATCAAGGACCAAGAAAAATGGAAAGATCAAACATAAATTTAGAGAAATCAGAAACCAGGATCAAAGTCTTAAAAAATACTTTAAAAATTAGTACAAAAAAAAAAATTAACAGAGGCCTATAAAGTTTTTACAAGGTTTTGTGAAATATTAATCAATTTACAAGAAAGTAAACTTAAGGTTAAAAAAACCCAACACCAAAAAGGAGTAAGCTTAAAAATAAATAAATAAATATAATGAAAAGTACAGTCACAAAAGCAAACATGAATGCTCTTGTTGTATAACAAGGAATATAACCTACAAAAGCAAAATCTTATCTACAATGTTGGCTTACAGGCTGTACTTGAAACAGGGAATAGTGAGTTGAGGTGTGAATTTAGGTTGCTAGAACCCTTAATTAATTCTCAAAAATAAAAAAACAATAAACAAAAAAAAAACTATGATCGATTGCCCGATAAACTGGCGCAGTGTCTGAGCAATGGAATCGAAAGCGGACAGCATTGCTAAGCGTCTGCGTCACTGCGCCGCTGTCGAGTCAAGTTTTAAGATAAGATTTGAGGCAGACTGTATCTGTATCTGTATCTGTCCCTATGCGGGTGTAAGGGTGCTCGGCGTGTGTGTGTGCGTGTGTGTGAGTACAAGTGTGGGTTTCGTTTTGGTTATCTACAAAATCCACTGGCAATGGGGCTTCCATTCCAGCGCAACTGAGCAGTGCAAACAAGCAAAGTTTGCTTTTTGGGGACCCACACAAGCGTTGCTTAATGCGATACCTCACCTCGAGTTATCTCACAAACACACACACACACATACACTCCCGCAAGCCGCACCAACAGGTGGAATTATTTACTGATAAGCCGCTGATAAAAGCGAGCCCAGTTGGGTTCGTCGGTTTTAGGGAGGTTAACAACGTAAGGGGAGTGTGAAGCTCTGCCTCTTCCACAACAACTTCATATATATATAATTATATATATATGTATTTATATATATATATGGAGGTGCCATCGGGTTGAGCAAGTCTCAAGTTCTAATTGGCTTTGTTTGTACTTTGATAAGGGGTGCAACCTGAATGAAGTTCGGTTCTAAACGTTTCCCAACGCACCTGCCTTGCCCGATCGTAGTCGTTGACTGTCTTCGGCCGCTTTTCCTCGTGATCACCACCGTGGCTGAATGATGATGGGGATGTTGACTTCTACGCTGAGACCTGCCCCTTCTCTGTGGTGGTGGTGGTGGTGGTGGTGGTACCCCCCTTGTGGCAATGGTAATCCGCGCGTGCTTTCTGCCGCCACCGCCGCTCTGTGGACGCATTTTCCCCGAGCGTCTCGCCAACCGCAGCGCTTGAGTTGACAATTTTTACTGTCAGAGCAATGGGGGAATCGGAATAGGGAATCGGAATCGGACAGCGCTCGCACTCCGCTCTTGGGTTTCCCAGTGCGAGTGCGAGCGAGTGAGCGTGCCGTTGCGCAATCTCTTTTTGGGCAAAGCTGAGACCTGAGACATGAGATCGGAGACCGGGGAACTAAAAACTGAGAACTGAGTGGCTCGGGAATCGAAGTTTGAGGAGATCCCCTTGAGGTTCCCACAAGGCAGGCGGCACAGAAAAGCTCAGCTTCGAGTGGCGCATTATATGAAAGGTGTGCAAAATGCAACGGTTCTAGATACATATATATATCTTTTATATATATTTCTAGAAATCAATCTATATTTTCTGGTAATGTAAGGCAGAGTTTAGGCTTAAAACAAATGATATAGTACCATCACCATAGTTATTATTCACACTTCTTTCAAGTTCTCCTAATCCCTAAGGATTACCTATTCTTTTAACCTGCTAACGTTTCTTTTATTTAAAAATCATAGAACAGTACTCACCTGGATTTGTAGCCGGCTGCAGTTTGAAATTTGTTTCCCTGTCACACTGACCTCCTCCAGTGTGATTTTTCTCCTCGGGTCTGCTGCTCCTTTAGCACCTTCTGCTTTTAATAGACACTTTCACAGACTGATTTTCTTTGAGCTGGCTTTTTTTGTTTTAACTATCCTTTTAACGGTTGAAAGAAGAGCGCGGGGCGGCTTGTTGTTCTTTACCTTCGGTTCACGCGGCGTATGCGCAATATTTTCTTTTCAACGGCGTCTTGTCCAACGTCGCTGACCGCCAGCAACTGTCTTCGTCTTTCTTTTCTCTTCTCTTTACAGCAGACACACTCTCTTCACAACGCTCCGTTCTTCGTTCTTGGCGTACTCTCTCTTCCCCTCTCTCTTTTTTTTTTTTTTTGGACTCGACGAAGACTTTGTCTTTGGGTTCTTTGTGTGCGTTTCCTTCCTATTGGTTTTGATATCGTTTATAGCTGAACACGCTACGCTTCTTCTTTACTTCTCCTCCTCCTCCTTCTTGTCCTCCTCTTCCTCTTGTCCACTTCTTGGCTGTCGTTGTAGTTGTTGTTTCAAACCTTGGACTAAAATTAAAAATACGCAGAGAAACGAATTTGTTAATACAAAAACAAGCCAAAACGTAAACATCAGCAGAGACTGAGAAAAGCAGCAAGAGATCGGTGGTGGTGGTGGTGGTGGGTTGGGGTGGGGAGGGGAGAAAGGTGGATTTTCCGAGAAAAAAAAAAAGCAAAAGGGAAAAGCGCAGGGAAAGATACACAGACACAGAAGAAGGGAGAAGCGTGGAGCTTCCCTTATCTGGCCAGATCAGAACCTGCTCTATCGAAACCCCTGGCTGAGACCGCACTGAAACTAATATCTAATCTGGATGAATGGCTGCCCTGGGGCACTATCTTATCGCCTTAAGGTGGGCTTGTGGCTCCACGAGAACTTGGACTGGGTGACTCAGTGGTGCCAACAAGTGCCGCCGAGCAACCTGAAACCATCGAACCACGGCACCATATTACTCTAGATCCAACGGACTCGATAACGAAGCTTTAGTGTGTTGGCCCAGAAAAAAAACTTTCTTCCTTATATATTTTCAACAAGGATCTGGGAGTTTGCTAATTATATAGATAGTTTGGATATATGTGAAGTTACTAGAGGGTTTATATAAACTTATACATCCCTGAACCTTAAAGTTCAGCAAGGATATAAAGGAAAGATTATCCTTTTGAGTTGGAATTTGAGTATTTGGAATTCTTAATTTTTAATTAAATTTACAGGACCTTCAAACAGTTTAAAAAACCTTCAAAACCTTTATTAAACCTTCAGGATTTTCCATAAATCCCTTGAGTTTACTCAACCCCTAATATCCTCAAGCCCTCCTCCAGGACTAGACTATATATTCCTTGTATTTCTATAAAAATCAACCCAATTCCCAGCAAGCTCGTCTTAAGGATGTTCAGACAACCCAAAACCAATCAAGGTGATTCAAGGAACGTTTCAACGAACCGGCAACGCAGCCAGATTCTTGAGATATATATATAGAGATATAGACGTGTATAGCTTTGGGGCTATATGTTATGCTTATGACGAATCGAAAACAATTCGAGCAATAAAGAAGAAGACGCAGATCTCTGCTCGGCAATTACAAATAAACAGCAGCCACAGCCGCAGCAGCCGTGGAAAATCGTGAAAAATCTTAGGAAAAGCAAGACAAAAAAAAAGGAAAGAACACAGGGCTTGCAGAGGGGGAGAAGGAGGAGGAGGAGGAGGAGGTGCCACCGCCGCCGCCTCCTCCCTCAAAACAAAAATGGTGTAAAGAAACGGAAATAGAACCTGGGAGCTAAGCGAGAGCGAGAGCCTTACCCGAGTATACTGAGCCGATTTTGTTTTGGGATTCCGCTTTAGAGTCTTAGATTTCTCCGATTCCGATTTAGATTTTAGATTCCGTTTCTTTTGCGCTCCGTTCTTTTCGGCCGCACTCAAAGAGCAGCCGTCGCAGTCTAATTGGATACTGAAAGGCGAATTCGGAATTCAGCCACAGAATACCGAGACTCGAGCGGTCCGAGCAGCAGCAGCCGCCGTCGCAGCCTGTTGGCCACGTCCGCGTAATCCCCCGCCATCCCACCACCCTGCGTCTCTTGCGAAGGTGCACGTTCTATTGGGGTCGAGCTGATCGTTGTTGCGTTGGAAAGCGCCATGAGGGGTTGGCAAATTTCCAACCGAAAGTTCTGCTCTACCGTCGCGCATCTGTATCTGTGCCCGTGACTGTGCGCCGATGCCTGCGCCTTAGTATCCAAGTATCCGTATCTGTATCTGAGTGTCTGTCCCAGGCAGAGACAGGGAGAGAGAGAGAAAGAGAGCCAGCGAGGCAAAGAGCGGAGCTTCGGAAAAACAATTTTTACATTGCAAACACACACACACACAGAGACCAACACTCGATCACAGTCACAGCCAAGTGAAAAGCAGCGCCAGGCAGGCAAGGAAAAACAAAAGAAAAACCAGTCAAAAGGAAGGCTTCGTGGGTATCCCGGCATCTATAGCTTTCCTTTGAGATCGAGGAGTTTGGACAGAGAGCTTGTGTAGAATTATAGGATAAATCTATCATGCCAGGGAAACTTTTAAGGATATTCTGAGACTGAGATAGGGAAAAAGTTAAAGGTTATGTAGTAAAGATTTAAGAAAGCTCCAAAAAAGAGCTCTTAATTTATATAAATTTAAAAAGTATCAGAAAAAAACGTGCATCTTTAAGATATGTTAGAGCTTAGAATGATATCTTTCTATTCTAAAAGTCTCAGGATACGCTATATTATATGAAATAGTTATAGGTTTTTGTACATCCTACTTAATTTTACTAGAAACCCCTACAAGTCCTCAAGTAAGCTTAAAAGAGTACAACCTAAGAGCTAACCAAGTCTAGTTTTTAAGCTATAAATTCCATTTTTATTTATTTAAAACCTTAATTTCTAAGAAAAATCCTTAAACTTTAAACTTCTGTTAAGCTTAAATAATCTTAAGGCTAAATTAGCTTCTTAGATAACCTTTAAAAATTTTACAAATCTACTTTTCTAAGTCTACCTTGGATGGGTAACCTTGCCTGGCCTTTAGATCCTGGTTTTGGTACACTTGTGATCGTCGATTGGATACCGTTTCCGAACCAAACCAAACCGAACCGAACCGAAACCCAACCCAAACCGTTCTGATCTGATCTGGTCCAATCGCTCGAGCAGGCAACTGTACTTGGCATCTCGCAACTTGGCAGCTGAAAAGTATTTTCGACTTTAAAAATAGCCGCCCCAAAGTGGACGATGAGGGCGGCAGCGGGGCAACGGGGAGCTGCAGAGAGCCGCGCCGTGCGAGAGATCGGTTTGGATCGCTTTTTGGTTTTTGTTGGCCAAAGGAGTGGGCGGAGCGGGCGCTGGGGGAGGTGGGGGGGCGTTGGGCGCAGAGATATTCGGGGGCCAGCAGATGCCTACGTTTACAAATAGCCGCTGTTTAAGCTCTCTCGACGATGATGGAAATTGATGGGTCCCGATGGCGTATGGAAAACCATATTCCATTTTCGCTTTTTCGGCTTTTCCCTTTACTTCCCCGTGTGTCTGTGTGTGTGTGTGTGTGTGTGTGTGTGCTTTGGTGTGCGTGCATTTTTTTGGAAACTCGAAACTAATGAGGTCGGGCACGTACTTCTCTCTCCGCCCGTGCCACGTTGCGTCATCTCTTGGAAGAGCTGCCCCAGCCAGGCCACCTACCTCCCCGCCAGAGAATGCACTTCCCATCCTTGAGGCCTGGCCTCGCCGTTAGCCGACAATACACGGCAAGAAATGTCGGTAAATACGTGAAATTTGGAAATTTTTTCTAAAACAATTATCAATTATGATTGAGTGGGTTATATCTTGTATATTGTAAGTATCTTATTATATATATTATAATAAATAAATTGCAATTAATTTCTTAATTAATTCTAATTAATTTCTTGTAATACTAATAAAAATTTCCATAAAGAAAAAAGTAATTTAATTCTAGATATTAATTAGAATTAATTTCTGGAAATTAGTGAATTCATGGTGGCACTTTCTCTTAGTGTAGAATAAGGCAGTGGGCTGGTTTTGGGTGGGTTGTTCTGGCACAGCTACAGCCACAGCCGCAGCTAAAGATACAGATACAGCTATAGCTATAGACTACAGACTACAGACTACAGGCTACAGGCTACATCTACAGACTACAGCCTCGAGGCTATAGCCACACCATATCATCCGATGGCCCAGGCCCAAAGAGAGAGACCGAGACATCATCATCATGGGCCGGTCTTTGGAGGCGAATTCGTTGCGTTGGTTTTTCTTGGCAGACGTTTTTCCTCGCGTTTCGAGTTCAAATTTATTTTTGGCAGCATAGCCGCCTCGCCCTGACAGTTGTTTAACGGGGCCCAGGGGTGTAGGGGGTGTGGGGGGAAAGGAAAATGGAAATGGGAGTCGGGATCAGATCAGTCCGCTTCGCTCTGCTCTGCTTTGTGTCTCTGTTTGCTCTGCTTTATCTAGCTGCTGAGTGAGCGTGTGTGTGTGTCTCTGGTGCTTCCGTTCCTTGGGGCAAAGGCAACCCTCCTGCTTGTTTGTATAATCCATTTAAAGGTAATTGAACTTCCCTTTGCCACCTTGCCTCCAAAGGGGGGCAATAGACCCGAGCCGAGCCGAGCTAAGCCGAAGTCGAAAACACAGTCTATATATAGATGGATCACAAATAGAAAAGAAAAATAGGAAAAACCAGAGCCCAGAGCCACACAGGAACCTGCTCAAGACGAGCCTAAAAATAGACAAGGAAAACCCCCTCATGGCTAGGCGGAGCCTCTATTTTTCATTCTATTTCAAGATGATTTGGGTTCAGATCGAATCGGTTTTGGCGATCGCACTTGGAAAACGTGGGGAAATTCATTGTTTTTTTCTTTTTTAAACAGAGTCTAGGGAACATGATGAGCTGTTCGGTATTTTTAGGTGAAGCATCATAAAACTTGTCCTCCTCCGCCCCCTTCAACATTTGTTTTAGCTTTTTTTTTTTTTTTTTCGTGTTTTGTATTGTAGTTTTTTTTTTACAAATCAATCAGCGAGCTTTGAAATTAAATAAAACACAAGCATATTATGATGTAAATATATAATATAATAAAATAAATATAAATATGTATTTAAAAAATATATAAATAAATTATTATACAAATTTTTTTTAATATTTTATAGTTCAAAATAATCTATGATCCTAACTAATATGATGCCATGATATTATATGTAGACAGATATCTATAGAAAATTGAAAGTTATATTATTTAAATTTTATTTTATTTACTATTAATATACATTTTTATAAGATATATTTTTTATTTTAATAATTTTGACTATTTTTCGTATAAATTTTTAAGTATTTCACATAAATAGATATTATAAAAATCCCTATTTGTTATATAAATTGATATTAATATTAATATTTTAATTTGTGTTAGAACTGTTTCTCTGTGTGCAAGCCAGAGAGAGAAAGAGAGTGGCTCCCTTGCACCAAAGATCATTTTAACCGTTAACTCCGCCTGAAAGGCCAGGCAGCACACAGAGAGAGATAGAGATAGACTGCTTCCCAATAAGTGAAAATGTCTCTAAAGAAAAACAAAAACAGGCCATTCGAGAATTAAAAGAGGCGCCGGTCCAGGAGGCAGGACAGAAATCAATAACAATTAATTCGAGGACAACAGAAACAACAACAATAGCTTGGCTTTGAGCTTCGGCTTCGGCCGTAAGCACGAATCAGGCGCTAGAGCGAGACGCCACGAGAGCTTTGGTCTAAGGACAAAGCTTCGCGCTCTGACTCAGTCCGTGCCTGAGTGTTTGTGTTTGTGTGTGTGTGTGTGTGTAAAGCGTGTGTTGATGTCATAAATCCTGCAAGAAGCAGAAGAGGAAAAGGCCGAGAAAAGGAGCAATGAGCAAACACAAACAGCTGTGCCATCCCAAAATCCCGAAACACGTTTTAAGACGCTCCAAGGGGAGGAATGTGTCGCCAGGAATCTAGGCTGAGAGTCCAAATCCGCGTTTTGGATTTTCAAGCGCGCTCCTGGGGTGGAAAACGGACACACGCACACACAAACAGAGAAACAAACAGGGACACACACATTCGCAAATACATAGACACAGTTTGAAACTCCAATTGGAACTCGGGTTTTGGGGATTCTCTCAACATTTACTGGCCAAAAACTCACGTTTTCCGCTGATTCTTCGCCTCCTTCTTGCGTTTCTTGTTCTTCCACCTCGTGCTTCTTGGTTTCTTCGCTCCGTTTTCCAAGTCCGCACACTTGCATCTAACTTTTCGCAAGCCGCCGCCGCTTCTTTTTCTCCTTCTTCATGCACATATACAAACATATGCTCCGCGCACACGAACAGCACACAGACGCGCTCTGAGCCCGACTTTCAGCGTGTGTGAGTTGGGGACATGGCGGCTGCCGCAGGATTCACCGCTGGACGCGCGCCGAAAAGCCAGAGAACGCGAACCGAAAACCAAACAAAAAGCCAACAAAAAATATGCACTAGGCCCACCGGAGGCGCCGAACTAAACACTAACTAAACTAAAACCGCGCGACGTTTTATCGGAGGGACGAGCACGGGCGCACGCAACAGAAAACAAAACAAGAATAACACGGACACACGGCAACTGGCGGCGGCAGCGCGGCTAGAAAACAGAAACAATTGGCAGCACTGCCAAAGCAGCGAGAAGAGAGAGAGTAGAAGGAAGAGAGGGAGAACAAAACCGCGCGCAATAATTAAATTTGAGTTTCTTTGCCGTGGTAAAGAACATGAAGTGCAGAATTTTGTGCATTTCAATTAAAGTTAATAAGTTAAAACTGATGTTTATATAATAAAAAGAGCAAACGAAATAATACGATTCAGGAAAATGGTAAGAAAAGAGAGTAAGAGAAGGAAATCCGACCACCGTTACATTCCAACCTAACCTATGACTCTATTTATTTTCTGATAATGTAAATGTGTTTGGGTAAGTGTACTCCTTCGCAACTAGCATGTGGCTTAGTTTTATTTCAACATTGTATTTTGTGCTTGCAGTTTCCCTAAAAAAATAAAACTCTTATTGAGCAAAACCACACACACACACACACACACACATACGACGTTTGGCGCGCACAGCTACGAAAACCCAAGAGTGGCAGCACCGTTTCAGCGCCTGCTCTTTCATCAAAGTTAACAACCTTTTACAGTTGCACTTCACCCAGTTTCTCCACCTACAATCGACAACAAAATTACAACTCTTTGCCATCTTCAGTTTATAAACAAACATTGGACGGGCAAACGAAAGAGGGAAAAACGAAAACTGGTTGAAAACACAATCTAATCGCTGCCAGCTCCCACTACGCGCGAAATCCGTGCTCCCGCCCCGCTCTACACACACCCACACACCGCCGACGACGACGACATGCTGAAGATCGCCGCCGAGGGCATCGGGCCACGTCTGGCCGCTGCCGCCTGCCTGATCGGTGGAGCCTCCAGCGCCCAAAGCAGCTGCCAAAGGGTGGCGCCCCAGGCGGCCAGGGCCACGCAAAAATACCTGTCACAGTCGCAGGGCCTCCACAAGAAGCTGGTCATCAAGGATCACTACGAGTTCGATCAGAAGGTGAGTCAGGATTATGCAATGGTCTTTGGGAAATGGGAATTGCATATTGGATGGCCTACGTGATTCAGTTCTGGCGTGGAAGGAGGGAGGAGCCACCCCATGACGCAGCGCCCCTCTGCTCTGCAAGTGTGTGTGCGTGAGAGCTGCTGCGGCCTCCTCTCTGTGTCTGTGTATTGGCCTTTGGCTCGTGTATGCAAATGAACTACCAAAAAAAAAAAAAAAAAAAAAAAACTAAAACAATAACAAAAAACGTCAAGAAACATTTGGGATACCGGTTTGAACCCCTTTTGGCCAGCTGGAAACTAGGAACTAGTGTGGCTAGCTACTCTAGATTGTCCACTGCAGGTGGATTAACTGGGTGGTTATGATAAGAAGGTGTCACTAACTAACAAGTAAAATGCTTGAGTACATCTCATTTGGGGTGGGTGACGTACAACCAACAGGTATGTACATGACGTAGCAACAAGTACATGACGTGCTTACGTACATACATACATACATAAATACGTGAGAGGTAGGGTGGGTGGCTATCTGGAAGTTATCTTCCAGTGGAGATGGTTCTAAGAGAACTCCAGGTTTTGGAAAGACTTTCTTTTAAAGAGAAGTTTATTACTTAAAAATAAATAAACTATAGGTAGAATTTTTTAATTTATTTTTATATATATTTTTTAAGTGTTAGTACTTAAAAAAAGATGAGGTCAGTTTTTGTTTATTATTTTCAGCGTAACAATGACATCATTTTTACAATTAAGCGGTATTTGCCTAGGTAAATTAGAAACAAAAATGTATATATTATTTCTTATTATTATTATTTTTTTATTATATGTATATATTTTTATTAGTTTTTTTTTATAATTTTTTTTTATTTTTATTATAATTATTTTTTTTTTTTTTAAGTTTATTTATTATTATACATGAATTCTGTTAAAAATAATTTAATCAAAGAGAAAACGAAATATAGGCTTCTATTTAGTTATTAAGCTTATTACATTAAATGAAACATATTTTTAAAAATTAAAAACATTTATTTAAGATTTTTTAAAATTTAATTTAATTTTTTAAGCATTTTACTTAAAATTAAAAATATTATATATTATATTACTATATTTTAAAATGATAAATATTTATTTTTTAAGCTTTTTTTTTCTTAAAATTAAAAACTATATTAACTAATATATATTATATCCCTCCAGGTGATCAACAGCGACAATCCTGTGATTGTGAACTTCCACGCCGAATGGTGTGATCCCTGCAAAATACTCACGCCCAAGATGCTCGAACTCCTGGAGAACTCCAATGAGATCGATCTGGCGGTGATCGATGTGGAGACAAATCTGGATCTCGTCGAGACCTTTGAGGTGAAGGCCGTGCCGGCGGTGCTGGCCTTCCGCAATGGCGTTGTGGTGGACAAGTTCATTGGCCTGGTAGATGCCAACAGCATTGAGACGCTGATCGACAAGCTGAAGCGGAAGCAGCAGCAGAAGCAGTAGGGCGGAGGCCCACTACAGGGATGCGGGAACAGGGACAGTTAATGATGATTTTAAATACGAAAACGGGAGACTGTTAAACCAGAGAAACAACGAGCGAGTGCACAAAGAGAGAATGCAATAAAAAAACTAATCTTAATTATGGCTAAACTTTAAAAGAAACTTTTATTATTTTTTAAAGATTTATGGATAGCTTTAATTATTTTTAAAATATTTTTTTAACTGTAAAGGAAACTCCCATTCCTGTTTTTTTATATTTTTTCAAATTTTAAAAGAAACTTCTATTCATTTTTAAAATATTTTTGGTTCGCTTTATTATTTTTTTAACTTTAGAAGAAACTCATTTTTATGTTGAAAATATTTATGGATCGCTTTATTCAGGGATTACAAGCTAAACAACACACACATCCTGCGCTTCGTTAATACAAAATAGACAATGGATTCCTTGGTTCGGTTAAAATATTAAAATAATAATAGTAATAATAATAACTCAACATGTTTAAACAGAAATATATATATAGTATATAGAAAATAGAAACAAGATCGAAGAAGCTATCAAGCCGGCAACTTTCGAATTACGAGAAAAACTTGAATTAAATTTAATTTTAAAAAACATCACACAAAGGATTGCACAAAGAAAGATGTGTGGTGGCCAGGAGGAGCTTCTCCTTCCTTCCTCCTCCTTTGTGGAATCCTTTTGTGTGCCTATGATTCTTAGAGGGTCCTTGGGTCAATCCTCGGGGCGGTCACCAGGCAGACCGCCAAAGAAAAAAACCGAGAAGATTCCAAGACCACCAACAGTTGTAGCAGCAGAAGCAGTTCCTCCTTGTCCTATGACTTCTACGACTCCTGCTCCTCCTCCTCCTTCTCCTGCTCCTTCTCCTGCTCCTCCTCCTTATCCACCTGCTCCTTCTCCTTATCCTGCTCCTCCTCCTTATCCTCCTGCTCCTCCTCCTCCGGCTCCTTTTCCTCCTCCTCCTCCTCCTCCTTCTGCTTCTACTCCTCCTGCTCCTCCGCCTTATCCACCTGCACCTCCTCCTTATCCACCTGCTCCTCCTCCTTATCCACCTGCTCCTCCTGCTACTCCTCCTCCTCTATCTCCTCATCGCGCCAACTGTATAATCAAGGCCGCACACATCTCAAAAAACTCCATGGTATGATGACCCGCCGGCTGTAGCGGCATCACACCCGCCACACTCAACGGCGGCGGCGTTAGACTCTCCATTATGACATCATCGCCCTGCTCCACCTCCTCGTTGGTCAGCGATTTAAAGTCCAGCAGATAGCTCTTGGCATCCACTTGATACAGCTGCAGCGACATCTTGGAGAACTTCCCCGTCTTGACATTCTGCCGTCGGACACGCACATGATACGGATTGATGATCTTCCACTCGTAGCTCAGAGCCTTCATGGCCCGGTATACCTCCAGCATAATGTCATTCGGTTTGCTTTGGGAACGGATGCCCAGATGCCATTTGGCACGCTTAATGGGTGTGCCACCGCGTGCCGTCTTCTCGGGAAAGGCACCCCCGCCCGAGGTCTGCACGGACATGGCTAGCTGACGGTCACGCATGGGTGCTATACGTTCCGGATGCGGACGTATGGTACTGCTGCCAGGAGTACCCACCGCTACGGCTGGCGTGGCACCTGGCGGTACTGGTGTGGCTGTGCCCGAACTGGCTGCAGTGCCTCCTCCTCCACCCACCGTGACCAAGGGTTGCGCCTGCTGCTGCTGATGATGATCCAAGCTTGATTGCGGCATGGATGGAGCCATGATGGGTGGTTGAGGTGGCGGCGGTGATCCAGCCACAAAGAAATTATTAATTTCATTGATTTGATTGGCGGCATCATCAGCAAAACGTTTGTTATCAATTATCAGATGATAGGCAATGGCCAGCTGATCATGGGGATCCCCACTCAGCAGAGAGTTATGCACTTCGCTCTCCTTGACACCAAACTTGGTGCAAACCTCGGCCACGGCATATGTATCAATCACATTGGAGTCCTGCTCGATGGACGAGGGAAACAAATAGGCAGGCAAATCCTTTTGGAACCATTCATGCTTCTTGATCTCCTCGATATTGGCACGCTTTAGAGGATCCACCTGTAGCATCTGACAAACCAGATTCACCACCTGTTTGTTCAGATACTCGGGTATAGGAAATATACCCGATTTGATCTTACGGAAAAGCGTGGGCACATGCTCATCATCAAAGGGTAAAGTACCGCAGAGTAGCGCATAAAGTATGACACCACATGACCAAATATCCACCTCAGGACCAGCATAAAGCTTCCCAGAAATAACCTCGGGGGCAGCATAGTTGGGTGAGCCACAAGAGGTCCTCAGGAACTCCCCATCCAGCATCATGTTCGAGAGTCCAAAATCAGCTATTTTTACATGCATATTGTGATCCAGCAGGAGATTCTCTGGCTTCAAATCCCGATGGACAATCATGTGGCGATGACAATAGTCCACGCCCGAGATGATCTGCTGGAAGAAGCGACGCGCCTGATGCTCCTGCAGCTTGCCATGCTTGACAATATAATCGAAAAGCTCGCCGCCGCTCACATACTCCATGATCATAAAGATGTCCGAGGGTGTGGAGATGACCTGGAAAAGAAGAGTTTCAGGATCAAGGTGTGATGGTATTCTCAGGAGGAACTCACCTGGTACAACTTAATAATATGCGGATGCCGGAAGAGCTTTAAATTCTGTATCTCACGACGGATCTTGCCCACCACATCTAGACTCTTGATCTTCTGCCGGTTGAGTATCTTCACTGCCACCTTGACGCGCGTGATTTGGTGTTCACCGATCTTTACCTTGCCAAAGGTCCCAGTGCCCAAAGTGGCGCCCAGCAAATAGTGTCCAATCTTTACCAGCGGCTGGCCATTGGCACTGCCGGCGGCCGCCGCCTCAGCGGCCGCTGCCCTCGTTTGGGGCATTGCAAGCTAAGCTCCTCCTCCTCCTCCTCCTGCTCCTCCAGTGGGAGTGCAAATCCGAGGGGGTGGTGGCGGCGGTAAGGTCGTTATCGCTTATTGCGTAGTCCGCAGTTCGTTGGTGGCTGCTTGTGGGTGCTCCTTTGCCTTGTTTTTGTTGCTTATCCTTGGGTTTAATGTTTCGTTTAAGGTTTCCTTTTATTGAAATAGTTTACACGCTTAGCTTGCGTTTTCTTTCCGTGTTTTTTGCTTCTTTTTCTTTTTTTTTTTTTGCTTATTTAATTGACATTGGAATGCCTGTGGTCTGCCTTCCAACAACACAGTCGTTTCCAGCAGCTGATTTCGTACACTAGCTGCCTCTCGCTCTGGCCTGGAAGGTTCTATCGATAGCTATCGGGCCAGGGTTGCCAGACCAGGCAGTGGCCAGGCGGTAAATTTACTAAAAATTCAAATGAAAACAAAAAACAAAACAAATGTGGTTAGTAGTGCTGGCAAAAAATCGATTTTTTCCACTATCGATTTTTCGATGTTTTTACGGACGAAACATCGATAGTATCGATTTTTTTTTAGAATATGAAAATATATTTTAGGGGGGTTTTTTCGACCGCTTCTTTGGTCACTGAAAAATATGTACAATTTGTTTATATCTACAATAAATATTAAAATATCAATATGTACAACCTATAATATACTTTTTTTTTTAGAAAGAAATATATATTTTTTTGAGCAGTTTTGTGGGTGTGTCGTGTGTGTGTGTTGTTTGTTTAAATCTACAATAAATAATAAAATATCCATTTTTGTATCAAGAATACTCCAGTAAAACTCTTTTTTTTTAATAGCAAAAATTCATTTTTTTTTACAATATTTTTGTCTTTTTTTTATATTTTGTAAATTTGGTAGAGATTCCACATTTTCAGGGCTTTTTTTCACCTCCAGCCTTCGTTCAACTTAACGATTAGTTCTAAGTTGTAGACTATAATTTTAGCTAGAAAAAAAGAGAAAAAAAAGTATAGGATCCTAACAGCTAACAACTAACACTTAAAATGGAGCTTTAAAAAAAAAAAACTCCATACATCACAACTGTACCGTACCTGTACACTTAACGGCTGCATCTGCACCTTTTCTTTCCATGCAATCCTCTCTCTCTCTCTCTCGCTCTCTTTTGGGTCGCCGCTTCCTGTGTGTCTCTGTCTTGCTCGTTCGCGTACACACAAACATGTCAAGATTTGTCTTGATTTGTTCGATTTGTTTTTTGTGTTTATTATCCTTAAGATTTAACTGTAAAAATACATGTATTTTCGCTTGTTTCTTTCACTTAGGTCTGAAAAAAAAAACTATAAAAAAAATACGTTACCTTAACTGCTAGCTTGTAATGCTACGGGACTAGTGATTATGTTTAAGGATTATCTTTATTTATTTACGATCAAAAAAATAAAAAAAAAAAACAAAAAATTTCGGACTTTGGATATTGTCCCGTCGTTTTTGCTGGTTTGGAAAATTGCAAATTTATTTCATATTCAGCGAACTCGAAATGAGCTTTTTTTCTTTTGTTTTGTGTTTGATTTTTGCGGAAATCAGGTGTTTATACATTATATATATAAGTGCCATATATATCTTCAATATATGTATAAACTTGTCTATATAAGGATATAGTTTTCTGTGTGTTTGTGTGTCAAGTGTAAAAGTGTATGTGTGTGTGTGAGTTTTACATCAATAATTTATTAACTATTATTAATATGTAGTTTTTAACTCTGGTTCTGGTTGTGGGTTGGTTGGGGGATTTCTTAAAAGCTTACAAATTAAGCGTCCGATCAAAGCCTGTCGGTGCATGTCCTTTTCTGTCCGTTCATGTCAAAATAACTTGTCCACCTGCAGGTGTTGCGTTTCTCTTTCTCTTTCTTTTTGTTTAACATTTTCGTATGCTCTCTACTCATACAAATTCATTGGAATTGTTACTTATTTACTTAGAAATTCACATAGTACTATTATAAATTGTAATTATCAATTTGACGCCTCAAGTTCTTACATCTTTCTTCTTATTTTAAAAAGCAATGTTGTTATTGTGTTTTGTTATTGCTGTTGTTATTGTTGCATCTCTTTTGTGTAGTTGAATTCTTGCTGCCAATGCTGGGATTTGCCTTTTTTTTCAACACATGGATAAACATACAAGGATCAGGATCACAACATCAATTATTCATGCATTACAAGAGAGGCGGCCACGCACAACAGAGCGAGAGAGTGGGGTCCTTTTTTTGTCGTTTCTGTAGTTTTAATTTCTTTTTTTTAGTTCCTTTTCCTTTTAGAGTTTCCATAGAATTTTAATGGTTTTCTTTTCTTTGTAGTTCCTTTTTCTTCTCGAATTTCTGTAGAACTTTAATTCTTTGTTCGTCTTCCCAGATTTATTCATTTTTAACACCTTCCTTTCCAAGGTTTTCCAAGGACATGCTGTTCATCATCCACACCACATCATCGTTATCGTTATCGCCTTGGTAAGATTCCAAATCCTTGGCAATTTCTATTGTTATGCATGGCAATTCCTCGCGAGGTCCTTTAGCATTATAGAAGTTATCCAATGTATTTACAGAATTTCCATTATCCTGGTAAAAGTGAACACATCCAGTTTCCACTGGAACGGTAAGGGAAGCAGGAGCTTGTGGTGCAAGTGGAACTGGAGTCGGATGAACAGGATATAGCAATGCGACGGGAACGAGCTGGATTGTAGTCGGTGGATTGTTGGAAACAGGAAAGTAGACAGGCAGCAGGTAGGAGGAAGAGTTGGTGTAAGAGGAGGGGAAGGAGTTGGAGTAGGAGTTGGCGGAGTACATATCCTTGTTGAATGGCAATCTCTGCTTCCTCTGTGGGCTTAAATTGGCCGCTTCTATTTGGTAGTACTGATGATGATGCACTGGCTCTTGCTGTAGCTGATGCTGTCCTTTTTGTTGTTGCCATTGCTCTGTGGTTGTTGCTGTTGTTACTCCTGCTGCCCCTGGTGGCTGCAGCAAATCATCGGCAATGGCAGCATGAACACTTCACCTCCTGCGAGATGCAGCTAATATATTTGTGTAAAGAAATGAATATTATGATCAGAGCGTCATAGTCCTCGTCGTCATCGTCATCGTCGTGTATGTGTTTGTGTGTGTTGGTGTTGTGTGTGTTTGTTTTTGTTTTTAAATAAATTTCTGTGCATGGTTATATGGATGCGGTTTTTGAGATCGTGTCTGTCTATTTGATCTACCTCTGTGCGCCATATGATGGAAGCCTCCGCCACCACCACCACCGCCGCCGTTGCCACCATTCCCACCACCTCCTCCTCCGCCGCCACCGCCGTGTATGGGCATGCCCCCCATGCCCATACCCATTCCAACGCCCATGCCCATGCCCAGATTCATCTGATGCATTTGTTGCATATGGTGTGGATGGGGTCCCATATTATGGTGATTATTGTGGTTGTTGTGGTGATGATTCTGATGGTGCTGCTGCTGCTGGTGGTGGTGATGATGCTGCTGTTGCTGGTGATGCATCGGCGGATGGTGATGCGGATGCTGTTGGGGCTGCTGATGGTAGTGCGGCGGCATATGCGGATTGTTGTGGTGATTATTGTTGTTATGATGATGTGGCGGCTGCAGGGGTCCACCACCGCCGCCGCCGCCCATGTGAGGCGGACCGCCGCCGCCACCACCACCGCCGCCAATTTGTGACATAAACTGAGCTGCCTTCGCCTTGCCATGCTCTTCGGCCAATCGCACCCAAATCGGTTGCTGTCCGCCCTCTGGAACCGTATTGTTCAGCATTTTGATTGCCTCCTGGGCCTCCTCGCGTTTGTTGTAGCTGGAAAAACGAGATGGGAAAAAGGTTTAGTGAGGGTTTTTATGGTTTATAAGCATCTACAGACAATTTCTAAACAATACTATAGTGGGTTTTGATAAGAGATTAGGGCTATAAGGATGTAGAGGCATATTAAAGAGAAATTTTCATATAACTTTAGGCAGAAATGAATTTATTTTGGATTTTTAAAATACTTATAAATACAAACAAGCCGCAGATTGACCCATTTCGGAAAGCTCTCTCAGCCAAACTTCCTTGTAGGTCAAAACGTAAGCATAAAAAAATATAAATACAGCTTAAAAAGTTCACCTAAAATCGCATATTTCAATTTGACCTAGTTTTTTACTTTGCACTTTGCTTGTAATTTTGATTATTCCAACTTTTCTTGGTCTAAACCTTATTTCAGCCTGCGTTTTTATACTCACCGCACAAAGGCAACTCCTCGCGGACGTCCGGTTAGCTTATCCCGCAATATATTGCGCTGAACAATCCGTCCAAATGGCGAGAAGATTCTGTCCAGCATATCATCATTGATGTTGCGCGGCAAATTGATAACATACAGGTTGGTATCCTTGATGGCCATGCCGCCAGGACGGGCATAAGATACCTATAAATATAATATAAAATGTTTAGAAAAAGAAATTTGAGTTAAACAAACGATTAAGGAACCCACCTTTAAGCGCTTGTTGCGCACATAGAATCCGTTTAGCTTCTGAATGGCATCCTCCGAGTCCGATTCGGTTTTGTAATCCACAAAGCCATAACCAAAGCTATAACCGGTCTTGGGTTTTAAAAGAACGATTTACAAAGTTAAAGAGTATTCAAAGCTTATTTCTACCCGATTCTCACCTTAAAATCACGCATTATCTTGCATGTGTTGATGGGACCGCAGCCGCTAAACAGGTTGAAGAGCTCACGATCGGACATGTCCTGTGGCAAGTAGTTGATTATCAAATTGGTGGCACTAGAGCGATCCAACTGCTGCTGATGCTGCTGTTGGTTAGAGTTATTGCCGTTGTTGCCCTGTTGCTCATCACCCGACTGTCCACCATCCTGGCCACCATTTTGACCATCCTGACCATTATCATTCTGCTCCTGCTGCATATCCCCATTGCTGTCATCCTCATTGTAGTTATCCTCATCGTCGGTCTGATCATCGCGCTCTACGCCGTCACCGGACTCCTGTGAATTGATTGTATATGTAATATGTGTGTCATTGGTGTGTGGGTTTTGGCCTAGTTTTAAAACTTACCTCTATATCGGAGGACTGCTCATCGTCATGCTCCTGTCCCTGCATTTTCTCCGCTTGCGACATTCCTAGGACTGTTTTTGTGTGGATTTTTTTTTAACTCCTTGTTTTCCCTTTTTGCTTTTTTACGTCGCAGTTCTCTTCGCGCCAGAAGCTGCAATGAGAGAGAGAGAGAGAGAGAGTATGTGTGTGTGTAGGTTGCTGTTTGCTTGGATAATTCAATTAGCCGTAAACTGTGGCACTGTGTCCTAGTCTGGCGGCAGCAGGATGCGTTCTGTCAGTGCATGCATGGCTCCTCGGCTCAAATCGGCTGGAATATGTATGTGTGTGTGTGTGCGGGGCTTCGGAAGCCGAAACGTTAAGAGCGAGATGGCTGTCTCTACGGATGCGGAGAGCTCTATCCGGGATGCACACTCTCCCACACACACACACACTCTGCCCTAGATGCAGGTGGAAAGCTACATCTAAGCCCGACGCGGCCGCAAAAGCCAAAATGCCAGCAAAAAAGCTGAGCAAGGAAAAAAAAACTATACCAACACAAAGTGCACACACACACACACACGCGGCGAAAACGCGGATGCCCGAGCCTGTGTATGTGTGCGTGTAGTTACAGGCTTGGGGCCCCCGTGCCGAGGGAAAAAAATTTAAAGGCACGAAAACTGCTTGAAAACGTTAAGATAGGCTGGAAAAGTCACCGGCTGACACTCGAAAGGGTTGAGGCACACACGAAACGGGGAAATACTTACTTTTCAGCAATCGCCAGCGAAAACTGCACCGGAAAACAACGAAAATTTGCTCACTTTAATGAAAACGCTAATGTTGAGTGTGACCAGCCAATGGGACAGCGTTTTCGATTGGCAGTGACAGTGTGGCCACAGTGGTTGCTCGATAGGTTTGCAATCCCTTTTGTATAAATTCTAGCTATTTTTAGCGTATTTTTTGCTCAGAATCTAGCTAAAAACACACATGGCAACATTGTCGGCGATAAGTAATCGAACTGGCACTAGATGGCAGGTGTCATCACTAACTAATTGGGCAAACGGAGCTGATGTTGGGCTTTCTGGAGGGATTGCGAGGCCGTGGAGCCGGGACTGAAGCCGGAGACGGAACCGAGCAGCTACCCAGTCACATCTACAGCGAGTTCTTTGCGGAACAGCTGCAAACGAGGAAGGAGACCAACGGGCAATGCCTTGCCGATGACAAGTCCAAATCCCTGCTGCTGGACAGCTTCGAAGCGGAGGCCAGCAATCAAGTGGAGGCACCGGCAGCCACCGACCACGATGCCTGGATCTTTGGCTACGGCTCGTTGGTGTGGAAGGCGGACTTTCCCTATATAGACCGGCGTCGCGGCTTCGTTTGGGGCTTCAAGCGTCGCTTCTACCAGCACAGTATCGATCATCGCGGCATACCGGAGCGTCCGGGCCGAGTTGTTACCCTGCTGCCGGGTGATCCTAACCAGGATCGTGTTTACGGTGTGGCCTATCGCATTGCGGCTAGCCAAAAGGCCGCTGTGCTCGATCATCTGGACTATCGGGAGAAGAATGGCTACGAGCGCTGCAGCCTGGAGTTCCACGAGTACCCAGTAGCCACCACCACGCCCATCCAAGTGATAATGTACGTGGCCACACAGGCCAATGACTCGTATGCGGGCAATGTCTCGGAGGTGGCCAGCATCGCCAGGCAGATCTTTAGCTCTGCCGGCCCCAGTGGCCCCAATCGCGAGTATCTATTTAATTTGGCCACCGCCATGGCAGAGCTATTCCCCGGGGCCGTTGATGAACATCTCGAAGAGCTGGTGGTTAACGTAAGGCGTCACATAGCCGAGGATGAGCCCCATCTTCTAAGGCAGGCTGTGCTGGAGGAGATTGCAAGTATTCTGCGGGAGAAGGAGCTGCCGGAGCAGGCTCAGGCACAGAAGCTGGAGGAGCTGCTGATGCGTTGCCAGCAGCCAGGTGGCCGCGAGTGGCTGCTCCATGGCGCCCTGCAGCAGAGGAGGAGCGAGACGTGACCGCCAAGAGAGTGCTGTACCTTTTCATATTGTAAAATAACTCCTGGACCAAGGACGATCAGTGGAGGCATCTGTTCTCCCTCAATATTTATAAATAGAAACATTAATTATTGTGATTAAACATAAATAAATTTATGAGAATAATGTAGAAAAAGCATTTAATTTGATTTATTTCTTTTAGAAATTCATTAAATTAAAATACTTATTTATTTTTTTAAGTACTCCACCTTATCCGCCGGAAGAATTGTGTAAATCTCAACTGATAAGGATTTAATTTAGGGGGTCTTCTCATTCAAAAGCCGTTTTTTGGACCCTTTTTAAAAAAATTCTTATTTGAAAATGCAAAGAATAATTGAAAACTTTTTTTATTTATTGTATTCAAAAATTTTCAAAGTAACTAAAAAAGTTGTTCTTGCCTCGATACGAGGGTTGATCAAAGAGTAATCAGACTTCAAACTTGGTGGTCGAAAAAAAAGGTGTCGTCCTGGCGGCCACGGTTCAGGGTCTCCAGAGCGTCCGAAATGAAAAATAAAAACGGGGTTATAATCAGAATTGATGTCATTTTCGGGTGACGGAACAGATTTTTTTTAAAATTTTTTTAAACAATGGCGGCCATTAAAAAAAAAAAAATCGATTTCGGGCTTTTTTTGTAGTTTAGTGTAAAAAAAATATATTAAAAAAAATTTTTTAAAAAATCTTTTCCGTCACCCGAGAATGGTGACAATTCTGCGTCGATTCCACTTTGTTTCATGAAAATCGGTTCAGTTGAACTGGAGATATCATGGCCGCCAGTTCGAAAAACGTGGTTTCGAGATAAACGCGTTTGAAGTTTGAAAAAAGCTCATTTTGCGAAGAACTTGCTTCACAAAAAAGGCTGTATCTTCTAAAGTAATTCGAATTTCTAAAAATCCTTTTGGGGACATATACACACCATCCCAAGCTATAAATAAATGCAAAAAAAAAAAATCGAAAAAAAAAGTTGCCCAATGAGAAGACCCCCTTAAGATTTACGAACTTTTTAAAAACTGATAAAGGCGCTAGCAGACTTTGCCATATTTTTGTTTAGTATACTTTCGGTATATTGTAATGGTGTAAGGGTTTGGTATATTTCAGCAAGGCCTGCGCCGGTCACACTGCGTCGTTAACTGTTGTCAAAAAAAACTGCCCTATTTCTACCGTGTTCGTTGTGCTTTTGTTTGCTGTTTGCATTGCGTTTTGATTTCGATTTCGATATTTCGTGCGTCCAGTCAACCCGATTGGAACGGTCAAGCGCGCGACAAGTGTCCAGAGGAACAGACGGAGGCGAACGCCATGAAACAGGTGGGCAGCGGGTGCAGAGGGTCTCGGGTGCGGGGGCGCTGGCAGATGATGTTATGCTAGTCGCTTGTGTGTGTGTGTGTGTGTGTGTCGGAATGCAAATTCTAACGGCATGCGCTTGTGTGTGTGTGTGTGCGTTTGTGTGTTGAAATGACAACATGTTTGTTATTTGCGTTTTGGTTTTTAATATCAACGGTTAAGCTGCTGTTATTGTTGTTGCTGCCGCTGCTCTTTTCGCTTCAGTTGAATCACTTGATTGCCATCTCACTCTCGCTTTCGTAATCGTACCTCCACCGCCACGCAGATTCTTATCAGGCGTGAGAAAGTCTTCCCTCCACATACATGTATCTTTACTGCCCAACAAGTTTCCTATTGGACTATGTACATTTCCCAACTGACGCAAGAATTTCTCCCGCTCCGCTCTCTTTCTCTCTCTCTCCCTCTCCCTTTTCCACCATCTTTCTCTCTTCGCCTTTGCTCCTTTTTATTGCCTACTTTGCTGAGTTATTGGTAATGGATTTGCTTTCGCTCTCGCCAAAAAGAACATAACGGCGCATAACGGCACATAACTCATTACAATTTCCATGCAAATTATCAAAAGGGGGGAAATGCCATAGTGTGCGTGTGTCAGCAGAGTGTGTGTTGAGGGGGAGGGGTAGGACGAAGGAATGTAGTGGTATTTACATTTTAGCAGATTAAATTTTTTAGTATGTACTCGCATGTTGGATTATTACTCCCCCACCTTAGAAATATAAAAAAAGGGAGACGAGAACGAGAGGACGAAGAACTGATGCCACCTTCTTTGCAACAACAACAAGTATCGATTCCTGGGGAGAAGGCTCCGCTCGCCAGCCAGGGTTGCCAGTCGCCAAATCAAAGCCAGCCGCGACAACCCTACAACTCTTGGCTGCTTTGCATAACCAACAGGACATACATACATCCACATATACGCTTGTGTATGTGTGTGTGTATTCCCCATATACATACACGTGCCGTGGAAACTGCGCGGAAAACGAACGCTTCCCATTTAGTGCTTTCCCAGTTTCAGTTTTTCGCTGCCCAGCATTCGACGCGTCCGCACGCGCTTTTCCCTGTTTTGAATAAAACCAAAAATAAAGTTGCCAAAAATTGTGCAAAAATTCGCATAAAACCTATAAATAATATCTATTGCGATTCCCCCCCTCCCTTAGAAAAACCGTGTTCCAGATGTTTCGGCAAAGTAAATTTTTTTAAATCAAAAATTCTTCACACAGAATTAAAAGTGTGTGTGTGTGCGTATGAGTGTGTGAGTGCTGCTCCTGCGCTGCCTCAACAAATTTTACCGTTGTATAAGTGCCAATTACAGTCGCGGTCAAAGTAATGGTATTGCAAAGCTACACATTTTTTTTAATCTGTTGAAACTTGTTATTAAATTAATATTTTCAATGAATTTATATGTACATTTAGTTTCCCAAGTAAACTCTACAGATACACAAAAAATATATTAAAAACAATTGGAATATAAATGCTTTTAAAAATAAAAAGTTTTACAATTTTTTTTATTATTTCGATGAGATTTTTTCAAAGCTTGCAAATAACAACTATTTTTTTGGCCGCAACTGTAGGATGTATGATGATTATACGTTTGTGTGAGTGTGTTAGTGGGACTCGTGTCATGTGACCGCGCGCGCAAAACATTTTGCATTGTTTTTGAATCCTCTCCCCCTCCCCCCACGTTGTTGTTGTCGTTGCTGTTGTATCCTGGCGAGTACGCGAAAACGTTTTTCGGGGGCGAATAGCGTAAGCCTGCGCAATAGGTGCTCACATGGCAGCTGCTACACACACACGAACACGAATTGGGAGCCTTCTGTGAGCCGAGATTTTTTGTTAATTAAACAAAAATCAGAAAACGCCTTGAAGCAGACTAACAAAAATAAGAAAAAAGGGGCAGGAGAGAGCAGCTTAAGTCCGTTCCGTTACATTTCCAATAGGCACAGATTGCGGTTGCAAGTGCGAGTGCGAGTGAGTGCGTTAGATTCACACACAGACAGAGATCCTAGGCTAGGATCTGCTCTCTTTCTTTCTCTTCGTTCTCACTTTTGCAGCAGCAGCAGCGGCAGTGGCAGCAGCTCGTTCATTCGACAACTGACCAGCCAAGTAGTAGCATAATTTTTTTTTTGTTGTCCCCGTAAAGAATAAAAAAGATTTTAACTCCAAGTTACTTTACACAAAAAGTTAAGCAAATCCCAAGAAACCAAACGAAAGTCAACAAGAATATCGAATAAATCCTTTAAAAGCGCGCTCCAACTGTGCCCGTGTGTGTATGTGTGCCTGTGAGAGAACCGTTGTTAAGCAAATGTAAATGTGCTTGGCTTTCTTAAGTACTGGAACTTAACTTTCCTGTGCTCTCCCATTCCTTTTTTTTGTTCTGTTTTTTAATAAATATACTCAAGTGGTGAAGAAGGAGGCAGCAGGAGCATAAAAAGAGGAAGATGTAGTTAACATGTGAGTAGCAACAAGCAGGGCCAAAAAAGCCAAAAGCATGTATTTGTGAGAAAAATCTGTAAATCGAGGTTATCAATACACACACATACACCGAGAGACTCCTAACGGACAAGAAAGAGAAAGAGAGACGGGGAGAGAGTGAGCAAAGGAGATGGTAAGTGCTTACGTACACATATATACATACACAGCATCCTACGACTCCCTCGCTCGCACTCTCTCGGCGAATGGCATTTTAATCATCATTAGGGAAGGTGGAAGGGGGATGGCACACCACTGTCATTATCAAACAGACATACACGCGCGCACGCACACACACATACCTCCCGCCCCCTACTATACTGCTCTCTTTCCTGCACCCTTACTTGGTCCCCCCCTCACACACACCCTACCCTACCCCCTTGCCAACCAATGTTTGTTTGCGGGAATAAAATTTAAAGTATGCCAACGATTTGCTTGTCCTTCTCCCACCTCCCCACTTTCCCCCACTTCTTCTTCTCCTTGCTGTCTCTGCCTCTTCCTCTTTTTTTGTTTGCTCCACTGTTGCGCGCATTTGTCCTGGCGACCCATATGTGTATGTATGTATGTCCTGTTTCCTTTTTGCACATGGACATGTGTGTGTGTTTGTCAAAGCGTAAACAATTGCAAATAAAACAGGAAAAAAAAGATAGGAAAATAAAACTAAAAAAAATGGAGGAGAATAGAATGAAACAAGGAAAGCAGAGTGTAGTCGCAAACACACACAACATTGCGATGAGTGATGAGCGAATGTGTGCGAAAAGAAAATCGATTTGTGTGCCATCAAAAAGTGCATATACATATATAGGCATGTATCCACACATATACATACACTCGGCACGTTGTGCAACATAACATAATGTTGTAGCCAGCAGCAGCAATGACGATTTTCAATTAACAGCCAACAATCAACGCTTAACATTTCGCCATTGCACTCGCAATATCCCGTTATACAGATTGATCCACAGCCATCTCCCTCGCACTCAAAGCACACATACACGTAAAGCATAGACGGCAACGCGGGGGGGCTTGGGAGCTCTTAATTAATCTACGTGTGCCATTGAATAGAAATCAAGGTTTATGTAATCCCCCAGGCCCAGGGCAAACGAACCACAAAAGAAAAACAAAAGAAAGCCAGAAGTGAAAAAAAAGGAAAACAATGCGGTCAGATTTGCAAGAACGATTTAATATTGCCCCACTGACAGCTGTTCCAATATCCGATATCCAAATGGGGGAAATTGGCATGCCTATAGATTTTTTTTCAAGGAAAAGAAAGCTAAAAACAGTGGGAGCTTCTGTGGAAAATGTATAAAAAACTGCTGAACAGGTGTATTAACAATTTTTGCAGCACACTTTTCGGCATATGTTCAATCAGTTTTCAATCAATAAAGTTTTCTCCAAGAATTTTAACTATTTCAATTTTTATGGAATTCGGAAATAAAAAAGGATAAGAAATAAATAATAAAATAAGTGGAAATCTAAAGAAAAGAGATTTATAGTTTTCAGATTTCATTTCTTAAATCATACTTTTCAGGAGATTTTAAAGTAATAGAGATGTTTTTTTTATACATTCAAAATATTTAACATTTTAACTGAAACTTAAAGATTTATTTAAAAAATGTTAAAGCCCTTAAGGAAAATCAATAAATACTAAAATAAATAATTGATATTGTAATTTGAAATGAAACAAGTTTGAACAAGTCTTAACAAGTTTGAAATTAGACTACAAATTAAATTGAAACTCGATGTCCTGGGCTGAGGAGGACCCCAGTGACCAGTTGTTTTGCGGGAAACGGAGCCAGCATGAAGTGCTTGTCTCTACATTGTAATTTATGTTTCCAACTTGTTTCAACCCCGTATTAATTAATTGTCCTTCTCTTCTCTCTCTCTCTCTTTCTTTTACTCGATGCAGCTAATAATTCGACTATTGTTAACCTAGTTTCACTTCCCAAAAACCAACCCAAAAACAACAACTACAAAAAGGACGAGCTCAGACGAGCAGCAGCGCTGGCTCCTCTAGTTTCGATTATCTAGAAAGGAGCTATAACTAAACATCGAAGGACTTGAAAGGGATAGATTTGCTGGCAGAGGAAGAAACCTATACCCCATTACCTTTTCGGTTCTCCTTGGAGCAGGATCCATTTTTCCTCCCCATCCATTCCTCCCAGCACCCTGTCCACAGCACATCCGAAACATCCTTGACGACTATAACCAATAATAGCCACAACCTTGGACTCTACTTGGAGGAGCATCGCAGCATCTCTAGCATTAACTAAAAAAAGGATAGAGTAGCCGGAGCACGAGGTCGACTCATGTTACAAAAATGAAAAAGTTCACATTCAAAGGAGTTCTAGATGGATTTCGACAAAGCGTTCAGCCCCAAGCCACACGACAGGAGCAGGAGATCCAGGAACAACTCAAGGCCGATCATTTTACGTTGAAAAAGGTAAGTTAAGATTAAAGTAAGATTAAAAACTAGAAATAAAATATTTAAAAAGAAGAATTATAATAGTTATATTAAATATGGTAACTGGATGGCTGAAGGAAGATTTTTAAGCACTAAAAAAAACTTTAAACAATATATAAAATAAATAAAATTAATTGAATTAATTAAATAATTTATATATAATTATTAAAACAAGTGTTAACCCCCCAGCAAAGGCCTCTGTTGCAGCTAGCGGGTGTTTTATTTGGTAGCTGCGCTCAAATGAATCTATCATAAGACACACGCGGCTATAACCGATGCTTAAAACCAACAGTGACTGAAAAAAAATACATACAAAATAATCATAAATACCAATGACATGTAAATAATGACAATTGAAGCCATAAATTAATAAATTATGATTATAAAGTCAACCCATCAGTTTTCTAAAAAGATAAGCAATATTCCACGTCATTATCTTTGATTTTGACTTGAGAAATATCTCCCATTTAATGCCTTTTCCTTGAACCTTTCTTTTTCACAGACCTTTCGTCATGGCTTTCCATACTCGCCCACATCCTTTGCCTTCGATCCAGTACAAAAGATACTAGCGATTGGCGACAAATCGGGCTACATTCGCATGTAAGAGAAAGAGTGCATTAACCCTTTGATTTTTTTGGGGGAGGGGAAAAAAACAAATAATGATAATAATAATATAATATACTATAGCTTGGGACGACCTGGCGTCGATGCCCATGCCAAACACGAGGGCGAATCCGAGTGCGCTGTCCTCTTTACCCAATTCCTGGTCAATGAGGGCGCCTTGGTCACCGTCACCGCCGATGACACCATTCACTTGTGGAACATTCGCCAAAAGACGCCGCGCATTGTGCAGAGTCTGAAATTTCAGCGGGAGCGGTAAGTTTTTTTTATTTTCATTTACAGTTTTTTACATTTCATTTAATTTATTCATTTATTTAATTTTTATTTTATTTTTTTTAATTATTTTTCCTAGCTTAGCAAGTTTACATTTTTAATTCATTTTGCTATTCATTTGATTTATATTCATTTTTATTTTGCTTTATTTTCATCTAATTAATTTAAAAAAAATTTTATTTTTATAAAATTTTAATTTATTTTTTATTTGTTTAATTTATTATCCTAGCACAGAAAATTTAAACCTAAAGTTCATTTTGCTATTCATTTGATTTATGTTCATTTTTATTTTATTTTTTTTTTCATCCAATTCAAATTAACTACCATTTTTTATTAGCCAATTAAACACTAAATAAATAAAAACCATGATGACATAATCCCTTTCTCCATTTTTGTATCCTTTGCAGCGTGACTTGCATACACCTGCCCGTGGGCAGCAAATGGCTGTACGTGGGCACCGAGAAGGGAAACATACACGTTGTTCACATAGATACATTTGCACTTAGTGGATATATTATTAACTGGAATAAAGCAATTGAAGTGTAAGTGTATATACGAGGAAGATTCTGTCTACCTAACTTGATCTAATATTTAATTTTCAATTTTTTTTAGGGTTAGAACTAGTCATCCAGGTGCTGTGATTGCGTTATGTGATAATCCATTGGATGCAAACAAGGTAAGTTGAGGCCTTGTTAAAGTGGGACACCATAAAAAAACATATAAAAAAATATACAGAAATTCAAGTTGAATTTATTAAAGTACGTGAGACGTTGGGTCTTGTTTTTAATTTTAATTTAATTTTTTGCATTTGTAGTTTTATTAATTTATTCTTCTAGCACTTTTTTTAATATCTTTGGACTTCTTTAAATATTTAAATATTTTAAATTCTATTCTATTTCTCTTCCTCAAGTTGCTTATTGCATTTGAGTGCGGGCTGCTTGTATTGTGGGATCTAAAGGCAAAATGCGCTGAGATACGATGGCAGGCGGCCGAGGCCGTCAAGTCACTGGCCTGGCACTATGAGGGCAAGTACTTTGTGTCCTCGCACACGGATGGCTCCATTTGCTCCTGGCCAACGAAGCCCCAGGCCAAGCCTCAGTCGCAGGTCTGTCCGCATGGTAAGTAGTCATTAAAAATGCAATATATATATAATATAAATTATATATATATATATATTAATTGATGCAATGATTCAACAGCAAAACCCAACAAGGATGGCAACGCGGAGAAGTGCAAACCGATTTATAAAGTTGACTTGAAATCCAGCACAACTGGGTGAGTGGTTTATTTCCATGATTACTCATAAATAAATAAAAATATATATTATATAGCTCTCTGCCGTTTGTCGAGAGATAATAAGAGGGAGATAATGGGAGACAATCATAAAGCTCAGGGTGTGCTCTCATTATTTTCGAGTAATTAAAATAAAAAATAATTAAAAAAGAAGCTATAATAAAAAAGGTTTTAATTATCAAGATTTTAATTAATTTTTTATACCTCAAAAAAATGTTTATTTATTTAATTTAATTTTTCTTTATTTTTTTTTTTGCTGCTTTGCAGGGAAACTTTCACCATTTTCTCGGGCGGCATGCCGTCGGAGAAGGGTTCCAAGTCGAATTGCATCACGGTGATGGTGGGCAAGGCCACCACAGTGCTGGAAATGGAGCATGCCGTATGCGATTTTATCACACTCTGTGAGAATCCCTGGCCCTGCGGTATGTAATAAATAAATATTTAAAATTAGGAAAATATGATGGGATTAGGATAGAAAATATAAATAGAAATGGGAAGTAGAATAAAGAAAATTGAATGGGGTAAAATTATACATTGAAATAAATCGATATATATCCTAATAATTAATTTTAATTATTAATTAATTATATTAATTAATACTATTAAATTAAGATATTAAAACATATCCGAAAAACGTTTTTAAATTAAAATATTACATTTTTCCGATTTTATTGTATTGGTATATCGAACAAAAGATCGATTTATTACTAGGTTCAAATATCGATTAATCAACCTTCAAGATATCGATAATTTTAAACTTCCAGGTCTAATATAAAAAACCGATTATCGATTTGTTTTACATAAATATATCGCAACTGTAAAATATCGCTTTATGTATATCGTTTTTCTCATCAAATTCAGATGCAATATCGATATATTGATATATTTTCTACTTTCCCTAGGCTGAAAATGCATTTATTTAATTATTTTGTAATACCTTTTATCATCCATTTTGCAGAGACCCAGGAGCCGTATGCAATTGCCGTGCTACTGCAATACGACTTAGTATTAATAGACTTATTAACACCCGGTTTTCCATGTTTTGAATCGCCTTATCCAATGGACTTACACGAATCACCTGTTACATGTTGCACATATTTAACCGATTGCCCATCGGATTTGGTTCCTGCTTTCTATTCAGTAAGTGTTATGATCCTTGAACTCTCATTAACCACATAATAATTAAACGTTATAATCTTACCTATCAGGTTGGTCGCACAACGACAAGTAAAAAGAGCTGTTTTTCGGAGCGCGAATGGCCTATATCCGGTGGCGAGTGGTCGCCGGCGTCGTGCAGCTATTCGGAGATCGTTATTACCGGACACCAGGATGGTAGCCTCAAGTTCTGGGACTCTGGTGCCGGTACGCTACAGATACTCTACAAGCTGAAGACGGCCAAGATGTTCGAGAAGCCGCGCTCTCACGTCGCCCACTCGCATCCGGAAAGCGATAATCCATTGGCGGTGCATCTTATCTTTCTATGTTCGGAATCGCGACGCCTTTGTGTGGCTGGGGCCATGGGTCAGGTTATGCTATTCAAGTTCCGTAAAATGGAATCAACATCAGAGGTATTGGTGCTAGAGATACCCATACTCTATGAGAATTTTGATGACATTTATGGCACAAGTCCCGAGTGTGACTTTCTAACGGGCCATCAAGTGCAAAAGACGGAATCGAGTGATTCAGATAAGGTAATTACCAACGATTTAAGGTTTAAAATGTAGATGAATTCAAAAATGAATTAAAGAATTAATTCAAAAATGAATTAAAAAATTAATTTATTTACTTGTTAAACACATTTTAGTTTGATTTTAAAAGTCTTTTAGTAATCTATTTAAGATTTCAAAGGATTTCCTATTAATTTCCCACTTTTTTCTTTTATTTTTTACACTAAAAAGACAACCGAGTGTTCGTTAAAGGTGCGCTTTGGAGCACAGCGCAAGCCACCGGGCTTCCAGTCGCAGCTGGTCTGCCTCACAACCGGACCAAATCGTCGGAATGTGCAGGTCACCTCGCTGTGCATCAGCTCCAGCTATGGCCTGTAAGTAGTAGATCATCCATTTCATTTTATTCCCACTATCACCACCACCATCCCCGTGACACTCGCTTCGATCCATTCAAACCATCCAGGGATCCATCTTGTCCACACACGTACACACACCACCACCAAAAAGTCCCCCAATACCACCCCGCCCCACCCCTCAACAATTCTCCCACCAAGACAAAGGACACAGGAAAAGCGGACTACTACTAGAACCCTCCTCCACCCCCCGCCAAAAAAAAAAAATACTTAGACGTAGTCTAGTTTTGTATTCGTACTATGCATGACGTTCTCTGAAAAGCGCCTGAGACGTAGCCAAAAAAACAAAAAAAAAAAAAAAACTATGAAAGAATCCCATCCGCCGCTAACGCTCGCTCGCCCGAGTGTTTTAGCCTAGAAGCCCCCCGTTTTGCCACGCCTCTGTCCCCGCCCTAAGCAGCACCGCTTTTGTTGAATTTGTTTGCGTTGTGTATTATATTTCGTAGTATGCAACAGTTGCAAGCAGACGCCAAGAACTACAAGAGTCAACCCAGGTTCCCCCCTTTTTGGTAATTTTATTACCAAAATACAAACCAGCCCAAAAAAACCCTGCCCCTGGACGACAGATTTGGCCGAGGGAATGCGAAAAATATCGAAATATCAATAATCGAATCGCTTATCGATACTAAATCGATATTTTACACAAAAGTAGATAAACAAATAAATTATATAAAATTTACAGATATTTATAATATCGATATCTTAATGATATTAAAAAAATGTTAAATATCAAGTTTATATCGATATTTTAAAGTAACGTAGCGTGTTATTTTTGGTCCATATATCGGACTATTCCTTTTGATATATATTACTGGCTTTAACCAGTGGTTCAACATTTTCAATAATTATTTATTTAGTATTTTTGTAAACTAAATATTCATAGTAAAGTACATAAGAAATGTTTTTCTACATTTTCTTGTTGAAATGTAATAAAAATTTCAATACTTTTGTTATTTTGGATTCGATATATTCAACAAAAAAGAAAGCGTATTGATATTTTTATAATGATAACAAAATAACAAATATTTCGATATATCGATTTTTTCGATTTGTGGATTATTTCGATATGTCGACTATTTCGATATGTGGATTATTTCGATATATATATATATATTTTTTTTTGCTATTTTAGCCCCTGTCCACCGGGCAATTTCAATGCAATTTCCCCCCCCAAAACAGACGCTCAAGAACAATTTGTAAGCTTAACTGTAACTGAAAACTGACTCCAGTAAACCGGACTGTACCGTATTTTTAGTGCCTGGTGTGTGCGCGTGTGTGAGTGATGATGCGCATCAAAATAATTCATTTGTCTTTCAGTTTTTGGTTCTTTTTTAATGGTAATCGTATATGTATTTCGATATTTTCTCATTTGATTTTGTATTTCATTTTGTAACTGCTTATCCTTGTTTGATACTTAATGATATTTTTTGACTGTAGTTTTTTTCTTATGCACTTTAATTCTTTAACTTTTTTCGAATACATATTGGTTTTTAGTACAAATAATATAGTAAATAGTTAAAAATATATATTTTTTTAAATTACAACTATGTAGTATTTTTTCAATAATAGCATTTTTTATGATTCCGATATTATTGAGTATTTCTTCTAATTTTTGTTATTGATTTTTTGTTTGTTTTTGAATTTTTTGATTTGTTCATATATATTGATTTTTTTTTCTATACATATTTTTTATTTTTAATAATTTATGTTTCATCCGCCCAATGATATCCACATTGTTTTCTGTGGTGTTATTTAGTTTTTCGTTTTTTTAACATGTTGATTTGTATGCAGTTGATTTTGGAAATACATATGAATATTTTCTGTTTTTAGAATGGCTTATGGTACCGAATATGGACTTGTCATAATTGATATAATCCAAAAAATTTGCCTATTGAGTGTTGCATGCCCCGATCTGTATGGCGCACATGATCCTTACTCGCGAACACCAAAAAGTCCAAAACGCATTGAGAACAAAGAGGAGCAAAGCCGATCGCCCAGCTCAGATCAGGTAAGTGCCCTCTCGCTCTCTATCTGTCTCTCTGTCTCTCTCTCTCTCGCTCTCTCTCTCTGTCTGTCTGTCTCTCTGTCTCACTCTCTGCCAATGAGACTTACATAGAAAATGTGTGTTGGGTAACCACTGTAAACCGAATATATTTACAGTGGACCCGAGCTCCAAAAATATACATATAACATATACCGAATACATACAGACAAATAATTTGAATTTTAATTTGATTTGAATTTATTCGAACTTAATTCGAATTCGAATTAGATTTGATTTGAAATGAATAGAATTTGATTAGATTCGAATAGGATTCAATTAAATCAATTTGAATTGATTCGAACCTGTTTCGAATTTGATTCGAATATGAATTCGAATTCGATTTCAATTGATTCCTATTCGAATTGATTCGAATATGATTCAATTAAATCTATAAAAAAAATATTTAATTAGATTTTATTCGAACCTGATTCGAATTTCATTCTAACCTTTTTCGAATTTGATTCGAACCTATTTCGAATTTGATTCAAACCTGATTCGAATTTGATTCAAACCTGTTTCGAATTTGATTCGAATTCGATTTAATTCGAATTGTAACACACACAGACATACACAGCCAGAAACACAGACAGACCGAAATGAATTCGCCCCCACACAAGTATTGCTATTATATGCTCGGCATTACAGTGGAGTACAGTATCGTACAGTACAGTACGGTACAGAACAGTAAACTCTCCAACACACTAACAAATGACCAACAACTACAAATGCTCAGCTCATTTGAACATGCCACGTACATAATATATTCAGTACTTACATATTTAAATTTAATATGCATACAAAAAATAAAATAAAACAAGAAAGGAAGCTAACTTCGGCACACCGAAGTTTGTATACCCTTGCAGATTGTTTTTGATATTTATATTATAAATTTAAATGCTTAAAACACACACAAAACAGAGTTTCATTACATTTTACCTAGACTTATTATGTTTACAGTTTGACAGTTACAGTTTTACATTCCCAGCTTTACATTTTCTCTACATCTACCGATCGCTTCTATGGCAGCTATATGATATAGTTGTCCGATTTTTATGAAATTTATACCATAATTCTAGAATAATAAAAAAAGCTTATATCTCAGAGAAGATAAACATATGTACGTTGGAAAACAACGAAGCTATAATTTTTTTCCTATTTATTTCTCGATCGTTCCTATGGCAGCTATATCATATAGTCGTCCGATTTTCATAAAATTTTTACCAAAATTCTATAATAATATAGAATGGCCATATCTAAAAAATTGTGCAAAAATGTTGAAAAACAGCAAAGTTATAATTTTTTTCTACAAATATATCGAACATTTGTATGGCAGCTATATGATATAGTCGTCCGATCCGGCCCGTTCCGACATATATAGCAGTGAGAGTATATAGAAGACTATATGCAATGTTTCATTCAGATAGCTTTAAAACTGAGGGACTAGTTTGCGTAGAAACAGACAGACAGACAGACGGACAGACGGACAGACAGACAGACGGACAGACGGACAGACAGACAGACGGACAGACGGACATGGCTAGATCGACTCGGCTGTTGATGCTGATCAAGAATATATATACTTTATAGGGTCGGAAACGTCTCCTTCACTGCGTTGCAAACTTCTGACTGAAATTATAATACCCTGCAAGGGTATAAATATATATTCACTTATTTATACATTACGAACGAAATTTCTAATTACTAACAAAAGTATCTAAATTTCAAATATATATATCTATATATACTTAATTAACACCTAATATATGTTTAAAGCTAAAATTGAACATTTGTAGCCGATCCAAAAATTCTTGTTTTGGTTTGTTGTTTTTTTTTGTTTTGTTTTGTTTTTTGTTTCCTTCGCTGTCACTTTCCTGCATTTTTGTGAATCCCATAGAAATAGCAATTAGACCCCATATATATACCCATATCTCTATACTATATATACATATATATATACACACACATATGCAAGCAAGCAAGCAAAATTAAACAACCTACGTATATATATATTGCTGAAAATTATATAAATTTCAAATATATAAAACTATATTTAAAACTAACTATAGTTATAGCTTGGTACCCCGTTTTTACTAGCATTTTTCGGTGAGCTTTTCAGTCGTCTCTAACCAACTGCTGTATCGCTTTCTCATTCCAACCAAAGTGACCTAACCCTGCTATCAAGCTAACCAATCTGCCAACTATATTCACAACCAATCGCCTTACTGCTCTAATTGATATAAGTTGAAACTAACTAAGAACTATTCATGAATTAACACATCATTTTTTTTTGTATTTAATTATCCGATCGCAAGAGCTTCCTCTGATTTCTAGATAGGCACTTTCTAAAGATTGCTAAAGATGATGAAAGCTGCGTTTTAATTTCCTTGAACCACTCATAAAAATATTTTTCTATATTAAAAAGAAAATCGCCCTAAAACTAAGACTATAAAGAAAAAGTTTCCATACTTTTAAGGCCATAAATAAATTATAAATATTTTTTGTTGGGTTAATTCTTATATTTTTCTTATTTTTAAGATATTCTTAGGCTTTGTTTAGGGCTCTTTTTTTAATTTAAACACGAATTGTACTTGTTTTTATACTAAAAACAATTGTACTTGTTTTTATACTAAAAACCTTGTTTTTCTGATAAAAACATGACAAATTCGCCCTAAAATTATTGGCAACAAATTTCACACATTTGCACTTATAATTCCCAACTGGTTCTAACATATTCGGAATGAAGTGATGGCCAGCCTTAGGTAAAGACACTCTAAATGTAATAAAAAATTTAATAAAAATTCACCAGATATTTTAGAATTGTCATTTTTTTTAGGGCGATTTTAGGTAAACAATTTGATGAGTGCACTTTTTGTAGGGTTCTATTTGGCCAATATTTTATTTCTACCTATCTGCCTCTATATATATATGTATACATATGTATGTACATATATATATACCTCTGTTTCCCAGCCTATAAACTGCCTCTAAGTGAAATGCACAAAACTGCAGCATGGTAAAATCATATTTATTGATTGATTGATATTTAATTTAATTGTGTTTTTGCACGAAGCTTGCATACGATAATTGATTTAAATTAGAATTTGGATTGATTGGTGTGACGTTTAATTAATTTTTTTTTTTTTTTATTATTATTTTCGTGTAACTTCTGTGATTGCCAAGCTCCAAGACCATCGCGATTTGATGGGCTATGATTGTTGTATTATGTGATCGAAACCCGATTTCATCCGTCACGATTCCGATATTTGAGTTGATTTGAATTGATTTGATCTGTGTTGTGCCTGAGAAAGAAAAAGCCTAGCGAACACCCAAGAAACATGATATTATATGAATGAAACAACAACTGTAAACAACATTACCAACAACAGCAACAACAAGAACAAAAGCAAAGAAAAACTACGTTTCTCCTTCTCCCACTGTCTCTCTCTCTCTCTCTCTCTCTCTCTCTGTTTATCTCTGTATCTATCCCCCCCTTCTGTCTTTTCGTACTAACGCATTGATGGAAGAAGTGTTTGTTTTTCTGTGTGTTTGTTGCGAGACTTTTACTGTCACATAAAAAAAAAACAAGAACAAAACACTATGTAACTTGAACACTTTACCCAAACACACACTCACCAGTTATAAATAAATTATACGGTTTTACTTTAAATCTAATTCGAATTGATAATTGATTGACTGTAGTTTTACTTAATTTTTCCTTAATTTTTGTAACCTTTTAAAAATTCTATTCTAAATCTAAAATAATCGAAAAATACCGTTGTATTGCCTGTGCGTGTGTGCGTGTTTGTGTTTGAGTTTTTTTTTTTTTGCCAATGCCTATGCGTAATTGTATTTGTATGTGTGTGTGTGTGTTGGTGTGTGTATGTGTTGTGCATCACACCCACACATCTAGCATTAAACCGTTATACACGTTCACGTATAACAGTTAAATAAAAGTCGTTGCCTAAAGTTTAACCCCCCCTTTCAGTGTTTGTTAACCCCAAACAAAAAAAAAAAACCAACCAAACAAAACCAAATAATAAAGTAAATGTCAAGTATAAATTGTAAATTGTTGATACAATACTCTTTTTTCCAAGTAACCCAAGTAAAACCCCAAAAACAGAACCTCGTTTAACCTCAACCCTGTTAACCCTTGTATAAATAATACACACACTAAACATAAACTCACAAAAGATAAAAAACAGAGCAAACGCATTAAAAAAGCAGCAGCAACAAGGCAAAAGCAGCTTGCATCCACCAAAAATCGTTATCCACATTCCCCGAAATGCCAAAAGTGGCGCCTTGCATTTTCGCTCACTCTCTCTCTTTAAATCTCTGTCATTGACTTTCTCCCTTTTTTTTTTCTTTTTTTTTTTTTTTGTTGATATCCCTTGACCTAGTTTGGTCTTTATACGTGCAAAATATAGCAACGATTTACCTCTTTCATGGGTGTCAGGTTTTAGGAACTTGTAACTAAGAAAAATGCTTTGACACTTTTGTACACTTTCCATTTTGCCTAAAATATTTACTTTTCTTTTAAAAATTTAAAGTTACCTTGACATCTCACAATACCTAAAGCCTATCCAAGGTCATTTTGCTTTAAAATTCACTTATCCATATGTTTTAATGCCAAGATAGGGCTTATTTTGTCAAACGCATATGTATAATAATTGGTTAGATATGTTAAACTTACCTAGAGATGGCGCTTAAGCAGGAACATGCATGTTGCATAACGGTACCGGTTAGGGCGCCACTTGTAGGTAACTGTAACATACCTCTTGCTGTCTCTCTCTCTCTCTTCCGAAGTAAAAGCCTTTTATAAAATTAAAAAAATATATATATTTGTGTACTACAAATTGTTTTAAAATAATAATAAAAATAAAAAAAAAGGACAAAACGATTTATTTTCTGTAATATACTTCACCTTTCTCCATCAAGTCCCCATCACTAATCAATTTTAATGCTTTAATTGTTGCTGCTATTTTTCTGTCAAACAAAAAAAAAAGAACAAATCAAAACTGAAACCAAAACAAAAACAAAAACAGAAACAAAACCCCCTTTAACCCGAAATGAAGTGAATGTTAAACCACCTTAACCCCCCCCTAAAAAACCATCCAACCAAAACCCTACTTTGTCCGTCGATAAATAAAACGACAACTACTTTTATTTTTGCTGCCTAAACTTAAAAAAAAAAAACAACAAAAAAAATATATGAAAAACAAAAACTGAGAATTAAAACTCTGACCCCCCTCCCCCCCTTCAATCTCCTACCCACCCAAAAAATTCCCGATCTTCATCTAGCTGAACGATACGACCAGTCCGGATAGTCCATCACTTGAATTTGTACCGGAGGCCACGAGCACCGATCCAACAACAGATCCAACCGGAATCGCCGGCTCCCGTCCCAGTTCACCCGATCCCGTTGTGGTGAACAGTTCTCGGGAAACCCTAATCAGTGGCTCGGCAGCATCGGCGGCGGCCATGATGGCCAAGAGTCCACAGCGTGAAGATGCTGCCCCTAAGGAGCTGCAGGACCGGCGCAAGTCCATGTCCTGGAAAACGTTCAATTTGAAGCGTCAATTATCAAAAGTCAATATGAAAATCGGTGGTATGAATGTCAACACCGATCTGGAGTCGCTCAAGAATAGCTCCATTTTCTATACGCCCAAGGAGGCGTCACCAGATGGCGTTATGCCAACACCACCACCGCCGCCAACCGAAGAGGAGACGACGGCCGAGCTAAAGGAAGATGAAGCTTTGGATGAAGCCGAAATGGCCGCAGCAGCAGCAGCAGCATCATCATCATCGCCGGCGGTGCGTGGTAAATTTCGATCCTCAACCACTGATTCGCCAGATGAAGGAGCTAGCTCCAGTGGCGTTCGTCGAGTGGACTTTGAGCAGATGACATCGGCGGCGGTGGCGGCGGCGGCGGGGGGCAACGGTGGAGGTGGAGCGACCCAATAATCTGCCTTTGGCAGACTCACCGGCACCCGTTCCACTAAAGCCAGCCCGTCAGAAATTCAAAGAAAAGGCACGCGATCAACGCCTCTTATCAGTTCCAAATATCAAGTATCAGCCGCGGGATTTGCGTGGCGGCGTGCGAATCCTCAAGAACGATGTCTCCCCGCTGACCAGCGGTGGCCCAAGTGGAGGTGGAGGAGCAGGTGGTGTAAGCGGAGGCGCCAGCGGCGGTGGCGGAGGCAAAAAGATACGTAAGTATGGCCCTCGCCGAAGGATCACTACTACCCAAAAATCCTCAACCCCTTACCTCCCCCCCAAAGAATAATATAAAATAGAGAGCTTCTGAGACGCTGGCCCCCTTTTCTTCTAACCAAAAAAAAAAAGTAAAAAAAAAATAATACAAATAAATTAAATTAAATGCGCAAAGCGAGCGAGCGAGTTCTTTGCGTGATCGCTAGGCAGGCAGGCAGAATGTGGATGTGGAATGCAAATCGGACTCCTGGAATCGGAGAGCTGAAATACCCACCCATTGGGGACCGAAAATTTACTGTGTTTTGTGCGTTTAAATGTATAGATTTCTGATTTTTGCTATCTTGGTCTTGGACTCAAGGTCTTTAAAGGTGCCCGAGCAGGGACATAATCATCAAAGGATAATTAAATTGTAAAGCTTTTAAGTTCCTAACTAATTAGATCTAGTAATACTAAAGCCCTGATATAGGATTCTTTTAAGAACTCTACAAGTTTAAACGCGTCTAAACACAGAATAATTTTCCTTCTATCGTCGTTGCAAATCTTTACCTTTCTCTTACTCTCTCTCTCTCTGTCTCTTTCTGTCCTTTCCTTTTCTTCTCTAAAATTCTTTTATCCCCACAAAAAAATGGCGTTTTGTCGTCGCTTCTGGTTGGGTTTATGGCTTTCCTTCCCTTCCCTCTTTATGTGTTGTTCCTTTTGCTTTTTGTTGCTTTTAGTTGCTGCTACTTAGCTAGTAGAGAATAGCAAAAAGAAATGAGATGAAACTACTGTAAACATAGCAACCCAGTTTCCCCCCCTAAAAAAAAATAATACAAATTACAGCTAGAGCGATGTGCAAAAAAAAAAAAAAAAACATTACAATATCTAAATCTAGAAATGCAAATGATAACAAAAAATCCGATGCTTCTTCTTATGTTAATTTTGTTGAAACGAAAAACCGAAACCAAAATTGCATTTTGTGTATAGAGCCTACTTTGTAGAGTCTTAGCTAAAAACAAAAAATGACAAAAATAACAATAAAAACCAAGTAAAAGTAACCGTAAATATATATATATATATATATACATATATATACTTATACATAAATGTAAACGAAAACCAACAACAACTAGAACAGCAATCTTCAGCAACCACAATTGTGATGAAATAATTACAACAACAACAACTTTACTGCAACCAACAACAACAACAAATTCACATTTGCACCCAATCCAAACAAATACAACAACAAACTAAATTACAAGTTAAGAAAAAAACCAACAACTTTCAAAACTTTTTGCCAAAAATGTCTTATTCTATGCTTCTTCTTTTCCCTCAATACCTAGGCAACGGATGCAGAAGAGCTGCAATACAACTGCCTTTATGTGATTGTGTGGAAGTTCTTTGGTAAATCATTTAACAACCACAACAACAACATCAACAACAACACCACAACCTGTCACCAGTCACCCCACACTCAGCAACAACAAGACACACACTAACAAGCACCATCATCATACCCACATACAATGTGTAACTATAAAGCTCAAACTCTTTTTGAAACTAACTAACCAACTAACTACTTAGTATGCAAGACACGAAATATCTACTTTTAAGCTTAGAAATTAAATGTTAAAGCGGGTGCTGTAAGCCAAACAAGGACAAAAGTTTCACCAATCACCACAACACACCACACCACACACACAAAAACTCACCACTCAGTCTGTGTATGTGCACTGTGCAAAAATGAAATGGTGCATTCTCATGAAATGTAACCAAAATCTAAATATCGAAAATGATATAACCAAATGTTGATTGTTGTACGTTTAATATTCCTGTGTCTAGTCTATAAGTTCCAACTCTCGAGCATACACACACACACCTATGCCTATACACTGAAAGAAAGCTCAGTGTATATGCCGATTTCCCTGGGTACTCTTCTGATTCTACTTATCTGATCTTTGCATTTATAGAGAGAGTTTGATTAAGCTGGAGGCTGTGTGTGCTCCTATCAATCGATTTTTGGCCCCCCAATCTCCTCCCTAAAAAGCCCCTCCCTGGTTGTCTTTCGATTCTATCGGGTATCGATAACTTGGGTTATTTCGATGATCTTTTTTTCTCTCGTTTCGTTTCTGTTTTCTGTATTCATTTGAAAATGATTTTCGTTTTGATTGTTCCGTTGAATGTGTGTGTGTGTTTTGGCTATCGATAAGCTAAACAAAAAAAAAAAAAAATTACCGTTGCCTTTGTTATCGTCATCGTTTTCGCTTATCGCTTTTCTCCAATGTCACCACATTTGTATAGTTAAAACCACTTGTAAATATATATAAAAAAAAAGAAAGATCAGACCTTTAAGCTAAATCATATATGCATATAACCGAATACTTTTAAATCGATTGTTCATATTTAATACCAGCTAATATATAACCACCCGCATACATAGAAACCACATGATGTCTATCTCTACGTTCTTAAACAGAGATTTGAAAATCCACAGAAAGTATATTCGCTCTACTCTAAACATACATATATCTCTCTAAACTCTCTCTCTCTCTCTTTCTCTCGCATTTAATCGTACTTACACACACACATATATATGCCATAAATATTATATTCTATTTGTATTCCTTGTTATGATCACCCTTAAGTAAATATTACCGTGTTCTCGTGTTTTTTTATTGAGCCTCTTCTCATATTAATGTCACTGTCAATCGATGTCACCCAACAAACCCAAATGCAACAACTGCCTACGTTTCTCGCTGTGTATTCGTATTTGTGTTGTTATCGAATATTATCGATAATTCGATATTTTTGCACTTATCACCGAAATTCAATAACCATTCCAAGCTTTTGTATTTGTATCATATCTAAAAAAAAGAAATACTATGTATTAAATCGTGTTTGTTTTGCACTCGAATTAACGATTACCTTCTTAACGATTAACGATTAACGATGACCGATCAGCAGACACTGACAGTGATCGCTTGCCAACTGAAGACTTTGATTTTGCTTTATTTACCTATGTACATTATTTTCTCTATATATATATATGTATGTATTTTTTATTTAATTCAACATTCTTTTGTGTATCTCAAACTCTTCTATCCTAGAAACACCTCTTTCTCCTCAAAAAGAAACGAGTTAAAAAGACTGATATTCTAAACAAATTAAAGCGTAAGTTTATCATTTGTTTTGTAAACTATTTCAAATTGTGAAACGAGCAAATTGTGTTGAAATAAACTCATTGATAGACTCGCAATGAGTTTTAGAAGGAAATAGAACTAGAAATATTATTATATAGAGCTTCTTGAAGATATGTGATTTGTTTGATTTCAAACTTTTACTAGAAAATTGGCTGTAGTCGTATTTGTGGATCGTTTCTCCAGGTCTTTAGAGAATATCACGTATTTATGATAACAAAAATATCAAGTATACGACAAGTATACACAAATCACGTATACGACACGTGTACAACAATGCAAAGTTTTTATTTTAAATGTAAACAAAAAATTCAATTGTAAAGTAAATTTAGGTTTGCTTATTTTTCAGTTTACAATTTATTTTCTTCGCTTCTTTTTTTGATTAAACATAACAGGCTTTGTCTTTCAGTGTATAGCCAGCGTTCACTGTACATTAACCCCACGTTGCTATTCGTTTACGTTTTTCGCACACTCGTTGGTTTCCGTTTAACCCTTATGTTGAGCGCACCTCTCGCAAGAGATCGCCACAGGACACTCACAATCACATATGCACAACCCACACACATACACCTACACCTACACACACACCCACGCATAGCACAAAATAACTGAATAGAAAAACAAAAAGAAATAGAAAACTGCAAAAAGTAAACCAAAAAATGTGAAAGAGAAGATAAAGAAGAATTAAAATGGACATTCAATCATTTTGTGCATTTATCTTTATGTCTCTCTCTCTCTCTCTATCTCTCTGTCTTTCTTCCTCTATATATAACTCTCTTTCTCTCTCTCTCTCTATCTCTGACTATGTGTGTGTATCTCTCTTTCTCTCTCCCGTGTCTCCCACAATTATTGTTTATATAAAAAAAAAAAAAACATATTTTGCAATTGCCTCAGATCAACGGCAGCGGAGTTGCAGCTGCACAGCAGCAACAGTCGCAAGCGCAGCAACAGCAGCAGCAATTGCAATCGCAGCAAACGCAGGCGCAGCAACAGTTTACACAGCAGCAGCAGTCGCAGCAGCAACAGCAGCAGTTACAGCAGCAACAGGCCCTGTTGCAGCAACAATCGCAGTCGCAGCAGCAGATGGATGAGGCGGGTGGATCAGGATCAGGAGCAGGAGCAGCCGCATCATCATCAGGATCATCCGTTTATGGGGCAGACGATGCAGGTGCGGGTGTTGCTAGTGGCGGTGTTGGTGTTGGTGGTTTAAGCAGTGGATTTGGTGGTGGATTTGCTGCCTTAAAGGTGGCAACAGAGCAACAGGTGCAACAGCAGCAGCAGCAGCAGCATCAACAGGTGCAGCAGCAGCAGGAGCTGCAATCGCAATCCTTTGACGCTACTGATTATCCTTGGGGCGAATGCGGTGCTGGCGGCGGTGCTAGCGGCGGTGCAGGTGCGCAACAACATCAATATCAACAGCATCCGTATCCGCATCCGCATCCGTATCCGCATCAGCATCCGCATCCGTTTACGCATCAAACATCCGTTATACAGCAACAGCAGTCAGTGACATCGTACGAGTCCCTAAAAAAGTCCAAATCACAAGGTGGGAGCACAACCAGAGAGCACAACAAACTACTACAACAACTACTACTACTACTACTACTACAGTAAAAAACAATAACAACAAGCAAATAGCAACTTCCACAACAATAACAACAAGAATAGCAACTACAGCAACCAATACAAGCAACAGCAACAACAGCAACCAAGCTAGAACAAAAACAAAAGAACTGAGATTGCATCCACAAGCATTTCTTTCAAGTGTACCACGCACACACACACCCACACGCACACACTTCCACACACACTCCCACACCTACAGTATACAGTTCAACTTCTCAAAGACGAACCTAACCTCAAAAAGAAATAGTACAGTACTGCACGCTCTCGCTACAGTGAATATTGAAAATAGAAACTTGAACTAACTTGCTCTTGCCCTTGGTCGAATCTCATTTTGCGCGCTATTTAAATATTTTGCATTTCAAAAGCTAAATTATGGGCTTTATATATATTTGTTTACTTCAACCATTTTTTTGAGTGTTGAGCTCCTTGAAATTCCCTGGAATTAAGCTTAAAAGGTCTTCCATAGGTCCTTCCGATCAACTTTTGTGGTTTCGATTTGTAGAAGTTCCACTGTACCTCTGTCTCTCTCTCTCTCTCTCAAACTCTACAAAACTCCTATCTGTCTCTCTCTCTGCACACGCACGCACACATACACGCGCACACGCACATATGGACAGCAGGATATGCACGTTGCTTGTGGCCCCGCCCCCTTTCTTCGCTCTAGTGTGTGTGTGTGTTGGTGTGTGTGTAAAATGTTGATATTTTTTATTTTATTTTTAGGGATAATTTTTTGTGGGGGGGGTGGGGGTCGATGGCTGGAGCTGTCTGTCTCTTTCTCGCTCGATCGCTCGCTCGCTCGCTCGCTCTGTTTCTCTCTCTTTGTCTCTCTCTAGCCCTAGAACAAAAAGGATCTAAATATGATCTTTCTCTCTCTCTCTCTCTGTCTCGCTCGCTCGCTCGCTCTCTGCTCGCTGTCTCTTTTCCACTCTCTATATATCTCTATCTCTCTCTCTCTCTCTCTAACCTGTCTCTGTCTTTGCTACTGTCTTACTATCTGTCTCATTCGCTCGCTCGCTCTGTATCTTTCGATCTAGCGCTCTCCCTCTCTCTGTCTCTATCTCTCTCTCTCTATGCCTCCTCTCGGTATTTTGTATTTGCATTTGGCACGCTTTGAACCAAGAAAAATTAACGATATAAATAAAAAAAAAAAGAAAAGCGAATGAAATAATAATTAAACAACTAGACTAACTGGAATTATAATTAATTAATTTAAAACAGAACATAGAAAGGAATAAAACAAGATCCGATTTTCTTTGGATTTTGATTTTGGCAAAAACGTTAACTTTTTGCATAGTCCACACACATACAAGCATACACATACTGTCACAGCCATACATATAAGCGCCTAGCTAAGCACACCACAAACAGCAAGTTTCAAATCGTTTTTGTTTTTATTTATTTTTCCTTTTTTTTAAGAGTTATTTTTGTACTCTAGTGCCGCTTTCGAAATTGCACTCTCAGCAAAGATCACTCAATGATATCAATAATCGATTAATCGAATATCCAAACAAGAGAAAATGGCTACAGTTGCTCGCAGGTGTGTGTGCAAGTGAGATAGAATGCATTTTCAGGGTTGCCAACCACGAAAAGTTTTCAGAACTTTACTTTAGGTATAAAACATAAAGAATTACATTTTCTCTCATTTTTATTATTAAAAAAAATCACAAAAAAATGTTTTTAAATTATATTAAAATAAGTTTTTTATGTAATTTCAGATTTTACAGATTTTATGATCAAGAAATTATTTATTAATCTACAAATTAAAAAACAAAACAAATATATTATTAAGAAAAATTGCTGAAAAATAAAAAATTATATATTTTCTTTTTTTTTTTTGTTTTTTTTGAAGCAAAAACCCTCAATTTTTTTTTTAAATTCAAATTTCCCTATTAATTTTAAATAAAACGAAAGGATAATATAATCCTGCGAGCGACTGACGCTTACACACACATATAAATATATATAAAACAAACACATACACATTTACATTGTAAACACATGCAAATCACTTACACATATTAGGCAGCCTAGCGGTATCTTAGTGTTGTGCAGCGCAAAAAAAAGCAAACATAGTGCAAAAAATAAATAAAAAACATCGCAATTACGATTAAAATTAAATTAGATATTAAAAGCAAAAATTCGATTAAAATCTTAAGTAAAAGTTTTGCCTACTACCGCCCGCCGCTTTTACTCTCTATCTCTCTCTTTCTCTCTCTCTATCTCTTAATCACTCTATCTCTGAATCTCTCTCTCTCTCTATTTCTATATATTCGCCTGTCTCTGTTTCACGATAATTATAAACAAAAATAATTTATATCTTAAAATCTTGTTGTAACTCGTTATTTTTTTTTATTTGTTTCTCTCTTTCTCCTATCTGTATTGATGCCCATCCATCTCAAAATCATCAAACTTTTTGTTAAAAACAAAAAAAAAAAAAAAAAAAAAAAACCAACCATGAAAAATAAATTACAGATAAATTGGATGGAACTTTCTCAAGATCCAGATCATCGTCAATGTCCAGCATTGATATGTCTTCCTCTGAATCTGTTACTTGTTTAGCTTTCATCGAGAGTTATGCAAAACGAAATGGTAAGCCTTACCATCTTGGTTTTAAATTATTAATGTTTTAATTTTAATTTGTAATTTATTTTTTTATTTTGTAATGCAGATATTTTGACACTTGTTCCTACTTTGTGGATTGGAACTAGTTTCGGTTCGATACTGACATTGTTCATCACTATGCCGGACCGAGATGTGCGCAAATCTCAGCCAGTATTGATAACAATAAATGGTAAGTGATTATTAAGAAATAATTGATGATATAAAAAAAATAAAAAAAAGGTATAAGGGTTGTATAAGCCCTTAAGGTATTGTAAATACTACTTTTTTTTATATGTATATCATAATAAATTTTTTAAATAAAATAATTTTATAAAATAATTAAAGTGATTATTAAATAAAATAAACTAGTAATTTCTCTTTCACATAGTTTATAATTAAAGTAATAATTTCTCTACCTTTTTAACACTTTTAAATATAACGTTTAAAATCAACTGATAGTGTTGTATAAGCCTTGAAGGTATTGTAAACACTACTTTTGATGGCAAGAATGTGTTTAAAAATATATTAGGGGCTTTTTTAATAGACAATATAAAGTGATTATTAAATAAAATAATTTTGTAATTTCTAAAAAATTTTCTAATAAATTTTTCTACATTTTTAACACTGTTAAGAATTATCTTACGTTAAAAAAACAATATTAACTTACTTTTAAAATCCACTAATAGTGTTTTATAAGCCTTGAAGGTATTGTAAACACTACTTTTGATGGCAAGAATGCTTTAAAATGATATTAATGCTTTAAAATGATTATTAAAAAAATAAACTTTTAATTTCAGTTTTATACTGTTTAAAATAAAATTAATAATGTCTTTACCTTTTTAACACTACTTTTAAACAAGAATGTCTTCAAATCATATTAAAAAAATGTTTTCAAAAAATATTTAAAGAGATCATTAAAGTAAAATTAACTAGAGATTTTTATTTATTTTTATTTATTTATTTCGCACAGATTGAATTTAAAGTACAATTTTTCTACCTTTTTTTTTAACTAAAATTAAATTTAAAATTGATTTTAAAGTATTATTAAATTTATTGTATTATTTATATTCTATTTTCAGGTGGCCCCGTGGTACGACTTAAAGGATCCATAACTTCCATGTCTTTTTTAGACTCATACGGTTCGATCATACCCTATACGTTTGAGACCTGGCGTGACGAGAACAAGGACAAGAAAGACCGTAAGACTATAATTATTTATAGAAAATAATATTTAATAACTAGAAACAGTTTTTATATATATTTTTTAAATTCTTATTAAGCATTCAGTTCAATCAGTTGCAATTTATAGAAAATAATGTTACAAAAGTGAAAAAACAGACAAGATTAGAGGGTGGCTTATAAAAACTGTTTTTTTTATATGTAAATATATATATATTTTTTTTTTTTAATTTTTATATTAAGAAATTAACGCATAAATTGCGGGGAATTTAAGTTAAACTTTAGCAACTTCAGGCCTTAATACTATTGTTAATATTCGTACCCTTCCCTTAGGCACACCCACAAAGAGCAGCAGCCGCACCAGTCCCACATTCACACCGACAACTGCCAATACAATATCAAACACTTCGATTGCGGGCGGTGGTGGTGGTGGTGGTGCCTCCGCTGGCGGAGCTGGTGGTGCGGCCGGTGGTAGTTCAGGCGCTGGCGGCGGTTCATCCAGTGCTGGAGCGGGAGCTGGTGCTGCCGCTGCGGCAGCTGGCGGTGGTGGCGGTGGAGCCAGTGGTAGTGGTGGTGGAGCAGCGGCCAGCGGCAGTGCCGGAGCCAGCGGTGGCGGCGGCGGTGGCGGTATGAGCAGCAGCAGCGCCAGCAGCAGCGGAATAAGCGGAAGTGTTAGCACCGGCTTGGAAACACTCACCGATCGACAATATATCGTTATCGCTAGCGAGAAGCAAACAAAAGTCTTCGATGTGGCCAATCAGTGTTGCATCAATCGCATACAATTATCGGAAATGGATTTTGCAGTCAAGGCAGAAACTATCACGATGAAAGGTGATTATTGTAGTGTTAAATCAATTATAAAATTATAATTTTAAATATTTTTCGTTACTTTTCAGATGGCTCTTGCTTAGCAACCTATCTTTCGAATGGCCATCTAATGGTACATAGTCTTCCTAGTCTAAAACTGTTATTGGATACTGATTTCTTACCGCTTATGGACTTAAGGTAAGCTCTCTTATATTTATTAATATTTATTTAGGTCGTAATATTTAAAAACAAATATATTTTTAGTTTTCAAACAAAATGTAAACAGGGAATTGTGGATCCAATGCTTTCGATATGGGGTCAACAGATCATTGTTCATGAAGATACAACTCAGTGAGTGCAAATTTAAATAATTTTCAATTATTTTTTAAATTTTTATTAATTTTTTTTTTTTTTTATTATTATTATTGAGTAATAATTTAATACATTTTCTTTTACTTCGTCCACAGAATATCAAAAATATTTTGCTTTAGTCATAAAGGTCATGGATTGTACATGGCATCGCCCACCGAAATTCAAAAATTCACGATATCATCGGAATTTTGGTAAGTTTTTTTACTTAAAATGGATTTAAGGTTGAAAGAAATTAGTGATATATCAATATTTTACTTATATTAAATCAATATTCGTATTATTGTACGAATATAATAAACATAATACGATTTTCCGATATTTTCTATATATTTTTACATTTAATACTTATTTTGTTTTATATTATATTTAACAATAAAATTTATAAAAGTTAATAATGGTTTAGATTTTTGTCGATATATTTAATCGGAATTTTTGTATCTATATTTATCCCAAATATATTCGATAATACGATTTTTCTGATATTTTTTAAAATTTTATATATAACTTTACATTAAATACTAATTTGGTTTTATTGAAATTTTTGTTTTGATATTAATCGCAAATATGTTTTTTATTTTTATTGATATATTTAATCTGAATTTTTATTCCAATTTTTAAGCCAAATCCTATCCAATTTTAATTTTCTTTAATAAAATAAATAAATAATAAATTAAAATAAAATAGAAACAATTTTATCATATTTTACAAATCACTTTTATTTATAAATATATATTTATATATGTTTTCTACTTCATTTTTCAGTCAATTTATTTTGGAGATGATGGGTGAACTATATACGGTACAGGAAATGCCCGAACAGCCGAAGGAGGGTTTCTTCAAGGGTCTATTTGGCGGCGGCGCCAAGCTCCTCGATCGCGAAGAGCTATGTAAGTTTTTAAATATACATATGTTTTACATGTTTATAACCTTGCAGGAAATCATAATATCAGTAATAAGCTTAAAAATCAATGAAGGCGTTATTTCCAACCCCATAAACCATATATATTCTTGATCAGCATTGACAGGGGAATATTTCTAGACATTTTTTTAAAGTTACAAAAATTTTGGAATTTTTTCACAAATTTGTCAGGGGTTACATCATTCAAATTCACAAAAATTGGCCCAAAATTTTGTTTTCTTCAAATTTTAAATTTAGTAAGCAGATTTATTAACCTAAAAAAAACAAGCATAGAAACGCTTTCCGAATTGAAATTAAGGCATTTTTGGCCGAGTTATGAATTTTTTAGGTTTTCTTTTTCCAAAAATTATCAAATAAAATTATTGAAATTATTATTGAAGTTTTAAATTAAATTTAATAAAATTATCCCTAAAACAAACAAGGAAATAAAGTATAGTAAAGTTAAAAATTTAAACTATTTAATTTCATAAATTGTAACTTTCCCAGTAAGAGTTTGTTAAATAAAAACTGCAAGGTTATAAAAACGTTCTTAAAGTTATATATTTATTTCTATTTATATATTTATTTATATTTATATATTTATTTATATTTATATATTTATTTATATTTACATATTTATTTATATTTATATATATTTTATATTTATATTTATTTAATTATATTTTTTATATTTAATTAAAACCCATCCACAGTTGGCGAACAGAGCGGCAAGGCGAATCGCTCGGTGGCCAGGCACATACCTGGTCCAAATTTGGAACAGCTCGGCCAGCGGGCATCCACCGCCGCATCGGAGATTAGCCGGGCGCACCAATTGGCAATGGAGCGCGGCGAGAAGCTTAATTTGCTGGAGGAGCGCGCCGAGCGTATGGCCAACACTGCTCAAGATTTCAGCGGCACTGCGCATCAATTAATGCTTAAATATAAAGACAAGAAGTGGTATCAGTTGTAAAATATCTATTTTAGGAGCCAATTCTACCACAGTTATTGTAATATTGCTTTTATAAACACTTTCTACTACTACATTACGAGTAAAGTACACTTATTTAATTTCCTGTTTTCAAGTCGTCACGTTATTTACAAAACAAAACAAAAACGAAAAAACAAAAAACGCAAAAAACAAAAACAAAACCAAACAACAAAGTTCACAAAAACAAAAACCAGAAAATAAAAAAAACTGAAAGAGAAAAAACCAACCAAAAACAAATACAAAAAAAAACTGTTTTTAATAAAAATATATATAGACCAAAAAAGCAAAGTAGTTGTGTTTTATTAAATTATTTTTATATATTTTTGATTGGTTTTTGTTGTTTTTTAATGCCAAATATTTGGGCTGGAAATATTCAATTTAGTTATATAAAATATAAAAAATTTTTTTTTATATGAAAATCTTTTGTTGGAATTGGAATATGGTAATTAAAACACTTAAACAATAGGAAATTTTATATACACTGCGCGTCACCAGATTAGCGCCCCCCTTGGTGTTCGCGTTTGAAATGAAATATTATCAAAACTATTAAAGATTGAACTGTACAATTATTATCCAATATAATTCGATTAATTCTCTAAATAAAAACATATATTAGAAGGCAGTTGGTATTTGCATAGAATTGTATTAAATTAAAAACTAAAGAAACAGGTTTATTTGGAAGAAAAAACTGCGTCATCAGATTAGCGCCCTCAAAATATAAATTTAAATATCTTTCTTAACTTGCTGAGCACAGCAACCATTTTTTTTTTGCTGTTAAATTAAACATTTTTCTTCAATTTGACATACAATATGGGCAGAGGAACAATCTTATCTTCGGAGGAAAAATCGAAAATCGAAGCGTTCAATGAATGTGGACTTTCTCTTCACAAAATCGCCGAAAAACGGGAAGACATCGCAAAACCATTGCACATTTTCTTTAAAATAAGGAAAGCTATGGAAAAAATTACAAAGGAGGTAATAACAGTGTTGTTAGCTCAGCAGATCGCAGAGCTATACTCCGAGAGGCGTCCAACTCCCACGACTCGACCGCCAAAATAATAGAAAAAACTGGTGTTAAGGCAAGCAAATCGACTGTTTTAAGGGTGATCAAGAATGCCGACCATTTAAAGAGGCTAAAACTGAAAAAAAAGCCACCTCTTAACCAAGCGCGAAAAGAAATCCGCCTAAAGTTTGCTCGAACGCATATGACATGGTCCAATGAGTGGCATAACGTCGTATTTTCAGACGAAAAAAAATGTAACCTGAGGGTCCTGACGGATATAATTACTATTTCCAGGATTTACGCAAGGAAGAGCATCATCTGGATCGCTTACATAGCCGGGTTGGAGGAGTAATGGTATGGGGAGCCATATCCTATTATGGCAACTGCGAACTGCAGTTTTAACCCCAAAGATGAACGCGGAAAATTACAATTGCGTTCTAAAAACTGCATTTCCCGTTTTTAAAAACTTATTTGGAAATCTCAAATGGCATTTTCAGCACGACAATGCCCCAATCCACACAGCCACGACCGTAAAAGCATGGATTCAAAAGGAAAATGTCAGTGTCCTGGAGTGGCCCCCATACTCCCCAGACCTGAACATAATAGAAAACGTCTTGGAATGGTTAGCTAGGAAGGTGTACGAGGCTGGCAAGCAATATGCTACCAAGGAGGATTTAATTCACAGTATAAAACAGGCCTGGACAACAATAACGTTGGAATATCTCAAAAACTTGTATGACTCTCTCCCCAATCGAGTTTGTGATGTCCTTGTAAACAAGGGAGGGACAACCCATTATTAAATTTCCTTAAAAATGCTTAAACTTAATCATAAAATTGTTAAAGATAGTATTTTGTAAGAACTTCATCAAAAAAAGTTAAGTTAATGTAGCTGGCGCTAATCTGATGACGCAGTTTTTTCTTCCAAATAAACCTGTTTCTTTAGTTTTTAATTTAATAAAATTCTATGCAAATACCAACTGCCTTCTAATATATGTTTTTACTTAGAGAATTAATCGAATTATATTGGATAATAATTGTACAGTTCAATCTTTAATAGTTTTGATAATATTTCACTTCAAACGCGAACACCAAGGGGGGCGCTAATCTGGTGACGCGCAGTGTATTTGCAAACAGTTTGAATATGGCGCCTTCGCAGTGTTGGAAAGGGGGACAGTGAATGGGTTACGAAGTTATCGAGAGTAACGATAGTTCGGCTTATTTTTTGGCAAAATATAAATCTATAAAAAAAACCTTAATGCTAACGAAAAGCACAATTTAAATAGTTAATTTTGAGTTTGTGAAAAACCAAGGCTTTAAATTAATTACAGTTGCCACTGTTTTCAAGGAAAGCAAAGTACTTTCCCTCTAGACTTAGGGGTTTTTGCCCGGTTCTAGGTTTAAGAATTTGTAAGTGTAAAATTGAGCGAATTTTTCAAAGCCTTGTAGTATTTAAATTTTAAGCCCACATACGTTAAATCCCTTTTAAACACTTGTAATTTAATTTGTTTTAAAAAAAGAAAACCTTAAAGGTTCGCGCCTTTGCTAACTCGGTAGGCAGCCCGCTCTCTATCGATATATTATGCGATACTCCCAGTATCGATAAGCCTCTCGAGTTCTCTAGGGGAAAGCCAAATTCGCATCTGGCAACACTGCTGGAGTCTACCATTTTATTTTAGTTAATAAAATATACATATTTCCTATCTTCTTTTTTCCGTTGTGCGCGTACGAAAAACAGCTGCAAAGGCTCGCGTCGAAAGTGCAATAAACATCAGAAATATTGAGCGGAAAGAGCGGCCAGCGGACGAGATTTTCCCCGTTCCGTTTTTTTTTTCTCCACCAGACGACGACGAATATATTGTAAAAGAGCAGCAGCAGCGACAGCCAGCCAGCCACCAGCAGCAGCCACCAACCTTGAGAAACACCCAGCACGGCAGCTATATTTCGTTTCACTCGCTCGCTTGTCTGTTGGTAAGATTTTTGCTGTTTTCCCCCTTAAAAAAAAACGAGCAAAGAAATGTCCGCGAGGATGTGTTTTTCGTTTCATTTCTTCTTTTTCTTATTTCGTCCAGTTCCAAATGCGTGCTAAATATGCGGACGTGTTTGTGTGCGTGCGGACGAGTGTGTGTGTGTGTGTGTCGTCGTCTTTGCCTTGGTGTGCGTGTCTCGCTGAGCGTTTCCATGTGTATGCTTGGCTCTGTGCGTTCGAAATTTTTCTTTTGTGTAAAACATTTGTAAGGTGCAACTGCAACGGTGTGAGTGTTGTTGCTCAGCTTGTGTGTATGTATGTATGTATCCCTCTGGTTTCTTCTTGCTGTTGTTGTTGTTGTGCGTCATAGTGTTTTGAGTGTGTGAGTGTGCTTGCGTGTGTGTGTGTGTAATATGCATTCCAACGGGGTAAAGGAGAAGAGGAAGAGGCAGCAGGCAGGCGGGCAGCGTACCTGTCGCCCGAGTCTATCGCCTATCGATGTGTCTGTCTCTGTCTGTGTTTATTTAGAAATTCCCCCCCAAAGGAAAAGTGCCTATGCCTATTGCTTTCCCCCTTCCCATTTTCCATTTCCACCTACCCACTGCCAGTGATCGCCTGGTTTGGTTGAGTGTAATCGATAATGCACAAAAGTATCGATTGGAGGAAGACCAGAAAAACAGCATAAAGAAAGAAAAAAAAAACGCATAAAACAAAGTGCAAGCGCGCTGTGTGAAAAAAAAAAGCTAAACAAGTGCAAAAGAGGAGGAAGAGAGGCGGCGGAAAAGAAAGTACAGACTTGGCAACAAAAACAAACCAGCTTTTAGTTAAAAGGGGGGAAAAAAAACAATCAGCTGTTGAAAACCTTAAAACCCTGTCGAAACACGCAAAAACACGCTGTAACATTTCCCTTGAAATGAAAATTAAAAGAAAGACAAGTTTTTGTTTATAGAAATAGGTAAATCTACAATATAAACATTATATGTTTTGTTGGAAACGTAAATTTAATTTGTTAATAATAATTAAGTGGAAAAGAAACTAAATTAAAAAATTTCAATAAATTTTTTTGTATAGATTTTTTCTCGGTTTCCTTTTGTATTTTTTATGTTTATGTTTTATTTAATATTTGTTTGTTTAGTGTTCTGCGTTTCAAGAAATATTTTGTTTTTTTTTATATTAAGAAAATCCCCTTTTTTAAATACAAATGTGATCAAATTTAACCAACAAAATAACCTTGTTAAGCCGTAAAAAATATAGAATTTTTGCTAGGAAAAGTTTCCCTGAATCATTCTTTCTTTTTTTTTTGTTTATAATTGTTTATAATAGATTTTTAAGCTTTGTAACGGAAGACCCTTTTTCCTACGCAAAAATCAAGCTTTGTAAATAGTATTTGTCTTTTGTTTATTTTATTTATATTTCACCATTTGCCAATCAGATTTCATGATTCCGCTGTTTATGACAAGGTTATAGGGGTTTTTATATGAAATAAAATTATATTAATTTTATAAGTTGCTAAAATCCATTGAATTTTTAAGAAAAACAAACAACTTGTGGTTTGAAATGATCTAAAACTGTAAAAAACTGACTAAAACATAAAATTCAAGTGAATTTCTTTATTTATTTCATTAATTATATTACATTTTCCTTTGTTTTTGCAGGCTTTTCACTTAACCCCGCACAAGTGCTTTTAGAAGAGAAGCCCCTAAGGCGGTGGAGCAACAGCAGCAACAGCAGCAGCCAGCCAAGATGGACAAGATGCGGATATTGAAGGAGAGCCGCCCCGAGATAATCGTCGGTGGCAAATATCGGGTGATTAGGAAGATTGGTAAGTACTCTCTCTCTTGGCATCCTTGAATCTCCCACTAAAACTCTCTTACTCAATCTTTATCCCTCCACAGGAAGCGGCTCTTTTGGCGACATTTATCTGGGCATGAGCATCCAGAGCGGCGAGGAGGTGGCCATCAAGATGGAAAGCGCCCATGCCCGTCATCCCCAGCTGCTGTACGAGGCCAAGCTGTATCGTATACTCAGCGGCGGTGTCGGTTTCCCTCGCATCCGTCACCATGGCAAGGAGAAAAACTTTAATACGCTGGTTATGGATCTACTCGGACCATCCCTAGAGGATCTATTCAACTTTTGTACGCGTCACTTTACCATCAAGACGGTTTTGATGCTTGTCGACCAGATGATCGGACGCTTGGAGTATATTCATCTCAAGTGCTTCATTCATCGTGACATCAAGCCCGATAATTTTCTGATGGGCATCGGCCGGCATTGTAACAAGCTCTTCCTGATCGATTTCGGTCTGGCCAAGAAGTTCCGTGATCCGCACACGCGTCATCATATTTTGTATCGCGAGGATAAGAATCTAACCGGCACCGCCCGCTATGCCTCAATCAATGCCCATCTTGGCATTGAGCAATCGCGTCGCGACGATATGGAATCACTTGGCTATGTGATGATGTATTTCAATCGCGGAGTGTTGCCATGGCAGGGCATGAAGGCCAATACCAAGCAGCAAAAGTATGAGAAGATCTCTGAAAAGAAGATGTCCACACCGATTGAGGTCTTGTGCAAGGGCTCGCCGGCGGAGTTCTCCATGTATCTAAACTATTGTCGTAGCCTGCGCTTTGAAGAGCAGCCGGATTACATGTACCTACGTCAATTGTTCCGGTAAGTGAAGGGGGGAGTTAATATATTTTAGGAGTGAAAACTGAATGTGTAGGCTTAAGAAAGGGAGAGAAAATGGGAAACAGATGATTCAAAATGCCAAAAAAAAAAACACGAAAATATCATTTTTAAAACCAATTTTAGTAAAGTTTATAATGAAAAAAAGGAGAAATAATTAAAAAATAAAGTTTACGTATTTTAAATATTTTTTTAAGTCGAATATTTAGGAAATTTAAATTATTTCTAGTTTCTTTTCATATTTTTTTATATAGATTTTTGTATTTAATTTATTTAAATTAATGGTATAAACAATTAAAAATCTAAGTATACAAATTTTATATAATTTTAAAAATCAAATATTAAAGCAATTTAAATTATTTCATGCTCCTTTTCATAATTTTAAATAGATTTCGTATCAAAAATAAACTTTCTCTTTTCTTCCCTTCAGCATACTGTTTAGGACGCTTAACCATCAGTATGATTACATCTACGACTGGACAATGCTGAAGCAGAAGACCCACCAGGGTCAGCCCAATCCAGCTATACTCTTGGAGCAATTGGACAAGGACAAGGAGAAGCAGAATGGCAAGCCCCTAATTGCGGACTAAAGTGAGGAGGAGGATGAGGAGGGGTTCGAGAAATCATCATCATGGGCGGGGTAAAAAAAAAACATAAGGGGGATTATGTGAAGATGATATAAATGCAGAAAAGAAGGAAAAACATGCCGCAGCCGCCGCCGCATCGAGAAATATCTACTAGGTGTTTCTCTTAAATATTAATTTAAAATTCAATACCTAAACGATTTAAGAAAAGGCAAAATCAAGGCAAACAACAGCAAAGGCAAACCGTAAACCACACATAATGTGTAATAAACAAAATAACTAAAAAGATGATACCCCAGCAAATGTGATTCACGAGTGAATCACTGCGATTGATAGTTAAAACCACACACAAAAACACCCACAACACACACTCACTGAGGAATTTGAATTCGAAGTAAAACGAAAAATCAACACGATTTAAATTCAAAACGATTCAAATTCAAACTCAAATCAATTCGCAAACCATACAAAACTCTACACCTGGGAAAAGACATTTGAAATATTCGAATGTTTCCAGTGTGGAGAGTGTCTCCATACACACACACATGTACTCTACACGAGGCATTTGAAAAAATTCAATGTCTCCACACAACTCTACACAAGGCATTTGAAAAATTCAATGTCTCCACACTCTCCATACACACACAACTCTACACAATCATGGCTCCCCACATAAAAAACACCACTAAAAAAAAGAAAACCACAAAAAAATGAAAGGAGGACAAATGGCGAAGAAATGAAAACAAAACACTTAGCCTAATAAATTACGAGAAAATAATACTGGTAACAAATGTGGAACGCTGTAGAGTAGCGTTCATTTTCGAAGAAAAGCAAAACTAAAAACACATAGTTATATATATATATATATACACATATATATATATATGTATATATATATGTGTGTGTTTAACCTTATGCATGTATATATATACATATATAGAAGCGAATAAAACAATTATGTACGCATATATATTCCATTTGATTCACCTGTCAGATCGAATCCAAAAGCTTAATTTCAACAACAACAAATCGAGCGATGCAAAACAAAAACAAAAACAACTCAAAAAACTAAACACTTTGTGGAATAAATAAGAAAAACAAAAAATATATAGGAGTAAACAATTAATAATACCAATAAAAAATTAATAAAAAAAACACAACAAACACACACACACACACACACACCGAACAGGCATAAAAAGTGCATAAGGAGGAGGAGGAGGAAAAATATATAAACAGAAAAAAAATATATATACAACTGAGCTGGGGGAAAAGTAAAAGGATGCAGCGCAGCCACAAGATTAAAACAAAAACAAATAATAATAATAAATATAATAATACGAAAAAATGAAGAAAAAATAAGAAAAAAAAACAACCAACGCAAAACTGCAAAGTAATTTTGCATTAGTAAGCAGTAAATAATAATTATAAACATAACTTATATTTAATTTTTTGAATTACATCAATAAATATGTTGAAATTACAAATTTTAAACATATTTTTTCACCTTCTGCATTTAGAAAGAGACGGGGCAATATGCGAAGGCCATCATATAGAGAGGGAGAGGCATAGAGAGAGGGGATGTGTTTTTTTCAACAGGTATAAAGTTTAAAAAAATTTTAAAAAATACTTTTGAGTATGTTTTTTAATTATATATTTTATTTTTTTTTTTTTTTTTTTATTTTATTTATTTTTTATTAATTTGAGTATTTAGAGGAGTAAAGGGTTTATTATTTTTCTATTATACTAAACTTGCCTAAAGTTTAAAACAATTCAAAATTATTATTTAATATATTTTTTATTTATTTATTACAAACTTTTAAAATGAATTGAGTATTTAAGGTTTTTTGTTAAGAAATTATTATTGTAGAGGCGTTACAACCAAATTGTTTGCCTAGTTTTTTAACCTTTTTGTTTTGTGTCAATTTAGTTGCAAATATTCTCCATCAAAAAATGAATGCCCACTTGATTTGTTTACTAGATTTTTCTTTATTATTATTGCCAGCTCGCCACATATCTCTCTCTCTCTCTCTCTCTGTGACGCTCTTTATTTCTTTGTTTATTTATTTGTTGACTAATGGCACGTCTGCGTTCTTATTTTATTTTCTGTAAACACAAACGACGTGCCCGTTAGTAACTGCAATGTCCAGTCCAGTGTCCAAGAAAACTGCATTGGCGATAAGAACAAAGGGGGTTTCTACGGAGGGCAGAGAGTCATAGACGAGACAGTTTCTAAAGATAATGGAAAATAATTAAAAAAAAAACATCAATTTATTTTAAAGGTTTCATAATAGTTATTATTTCTTTGAATATAAATATATTTTTTTTTTATGGGTTATTTAAATTTAAAAAATATTTATATTCAATGAAAATAGGTTTGAAAATCGATTGTTAGTGTTGAAAAACGTGAGGTAAGTAAGGCTTTATAAGAAAAAAAAATAAAAATACTACACATAAATTAGAGAGAATATTAAATTTTAATTATCAACTACCTTTTTTTTTTGAAAGCCCGCTCGATTTACCAGTACCTGTTTATCGATTGAAACGCTTTTCCGCTGTTCGGTCACACTATTTATTTGACCAGAGGTTGTAGTATGTGGTTAGAGTATCAGGTGTGGTTCGAATATCAGATGTGGATTTTTTAGGAAGAAATTTCATCTTTTTGAGATTTTCTAGGGCCAAATTTTCATGTGAACGTTGATAAATACGAGTGCAAAGCGCATTCGAAAAAAATCCACCCAACAAACAAACTCAGCGAAGCACTGTAGACGGGAAACGCGGAAAAATCAAGCGCTGTTTCGTTGGTCGTTCCGATTACCCGATCGTGGTTTTATTGCTGAAGTTGCGGTTTTTGCGAGCGAAGGACCTCAGGGCCCCCGTATTTAAAGTAATTACAATTTTATAAAGCCACCAAAATTGAGAAAATAAGAATCATCAGTGCTGTGTGTGTGTGCGCGGAATTGCGGTTCTTTGATTTTTTTTTTTTTACAAGTTGTGCTGTGCGAAAAACAGTAAATTGAAAACGAAACCGAAACAGTTAGAAGGGCACAACTAGGTGAAACATTTATTTTTTGTTTTTGTTAAAATTTTTTTAAATGGTGTACGAAAAATAAGGATTCGAAGGAAACGCAACAAGTTCAAATAAGCAAACACACGCACATACATATACACGCGCAGGCGTCGAGGACTCGGCGATTTTGAGAAGAGGCTGGCAAGACGGAGGCCGAAGCCGACGCTGAAAAGGAATAAGAATAAGAAGCAGAACGGAACAAACAACCACTCGCGTTGTTGTTGTTGGTTCTGCTTTATTTTGTTTTTGCCTTTTGCTTGCGCAGTAATAAAATAAAAATTACAAACACACCGACGTGTGATACGAGTACGACCACCACTAGAGATCGCACACACACACATACAGTGTCACAATCGCGCACAGCAAACGGAACCCCGGCCGAGGGTTGTTGGCGGTGCGAGAGGGACGGCCAGAGGGATCGACCCATCGGTGGAAAGGGACGAAAACAAGAGCGAGCTTATCTCTCTGAGAACGTAGAGACGATAAAAGCAAAGCAAACATCGCGCGCACACACACACTCGAGGCACACATCGGCTGTTGCTGTTTTGGAAAAGAACTAAAAAAAACACGAGGAAAAGGAACAAAGCAAAGTCTTGCCGCTTGTTGCTTCTTTCTCAGCTTCGCATGTGCGTGAAAAAACATCCTGACGCGCACTCACACACTCGCGGGCTGACAAACCGCTCGCGCGCACACATACACACACTTGAACGTACGACGAGCACGTGTAATTTTTGTTTTATCCTCTACCCCTTCCACTCTCCTCTAATTGCACGTTCTCTTTTTCACTCTCCTTTAGCTAATTTTTTTTGCAATGCAATTAACGCGAAACAAATAACACGACAAAGCAAACAACAATTCAAGTGCAAAATATAAATTAATTTGAAAACACAAAGAAATGAATGTATAGAAAAGGCTAAAGAAAAAACAACAAACCAAGATAAAGAATCTTTCTTCTGTCTTGTCCAGTGAAAACAACAAAAACAACAAGCAGCAGCATCAACAATATCAAGCAGAGCAGCAAGCGATAAATAAATCCAAGTTCAAAATCTATCCTGAATTCAACAATAGTAGGAAAAATTACTAAAATGTCTGCGACTATAGTACAGAAATCTACGACAGTTGGAAATTCGCATTATTTCGAGTGCGGCGACATATTCCAAACGGTAAGTCAAAGTTTCATTTTTATCATTTTTATGTTTAATGTATATTCTCCGATCGAAATGTCCCATGGGTTTTCTTGTTTTTGTTTTTGCTCCCTCGCGGTTCGCAATCGTAATATCCATTAAGTTGCCGAGTTCCCATAGGTATGCATTATTTGAGATTTCCCAAAACCCACATTTTACCCCGATCAAGTTCCTAAGGGTCTCTCAGAGTGGTCTTTGTTGCTGCGGTGGAGCTTTCTTAATGAGTCCTGCGGGAATTAGGGTTATTTTAAATCCCAAAAACTGCCCCCATGTTGTGGAAATTTTTATTAAGGGGATATTTTTTGCAATATATGGTTTTTATATTATATTACAGGAAGGATTGGAAGACTTAATCCATTTAATATTTTGGTTATAAATGTTTTTAAAATTATATATAACAGAAATCTTTCTATTTTCTGAATACATCTACACTTTATTTTTATAAATCCTTACTCTATAAATTGGATTTCTAGTTTTGAGCTTACATAAAAATTCACAGATTACATAAAACTAAATGAAAATATTCAAGAACTCGACAACCTAAAAATAAGTCTTTTCTTAATTATGGTTACAAAGTAGAATTCCAACTGAGTGAACAATTTAAATATAAGTTGAAACATGCCTAAACCACATGTTTTTGGGTTATTTATTTTGGGAGTTGCGTTTTTTTTTTCACCATATTTTCTGTAGTTGCATTGCATTTTCCGCAGTTTTTGTTTTTGCGTCGTTAAAGGCAATATTTGGTGTGTATTTATGCATCGTTTGCTGTATTTCGAGTCTTTAGTCTCTCTCAATAACGTGTTTTCCACTCGACCGTTTTAAATTTTGTTGTCCATTTTTCATTTCGATATGTTGTTTATTTCGTTATATTTCCGTTTCGTTACACTCGCACACTGCAGCCAGCAGTTCTTGATGTTGTTTGTTGTTATTCACAATATATTTATTAAAGCTGATTCATAATTATTTCGGTTTGTCAACTCACGAAACCAGAATGAAAAAAAATAAAACACAAAACAATAACGACAGACTGTAAAGTGGACTAAATAATTGTCTGATAAGGATTTTTGTTTTTGTATGATAAGCTTGGTAAGGAGAGAGAAAGAGGTGGGCGGGGCATATCAAGTCTTCTGGACACTTAATTTTGTTTTTTATTAGTACAATACGTAATACTCTTACTGTAATTGTGATTATAAAATTAAATTATATTATATTAGATAGATACTATATTATAGCGGCTATTGTTTTTTTGATAACATCATCTTATAGATTCATTAAATTATATAATAACAGTTTATATATATACATCAAAGGTTTTCGGTTTTAGGTAATGTAAATTAGGATTTCTAAAGTAAAAAATGAGGGTATTAAAATTGCATTTTACACCTAAGCAATTGTTTTTAGTCTTCCCTTCGCTTTAGCCCCTCTGTCTTCCTCCCTCCCCTTGCCCATCATAATAATTTGTAACAATTGGCGTCATCGCAGCAGCATCATTAAAAACAACAGCAGCAGCAGCAACAACAACAACACTCGTGATCATTTATTTTCCGTGTGTTTGTGTGTGTGTGTGCGTGCGGAAAGTTAGTGGCTGCGACGCTGACGCCGACGCCGACGCCGACACCGGCAGCAGCTGTTGATCGACAACAAATTCGATTAAGTCAGTTCCGGGTTTGGTATGGTTTGAATTTTTGTGTTTTTTTTTTTTTTTAATATATATATATTTTTTTTAGTGATTTCTGCTGTATATTTTGTTTCTGTTTTTTGTTTCTTGTGTCCGGGATTCAAAGTTGCTCTTAAATGAGCCAAGTTAAGAGCTCTGTCCGCCGCGCTGCTGCTGCGGTTACGTGCAGTTTTTTTTTTCCTCGTCATTAACACGAGAGATGCGGTTGAGTGAGTGAATGAGAGAGCGAGAGAAAGGGGGGGTGTGAGGGAGTATGGGAGGACCAGCTCAAATGACCGTTGCTTTTACAGTAAATACCCCCAAGAATGAACACTGAAAAGGGTGAACATTGCAAAAATAAACTGAAACTGGAATATCAAGTAATATTATAGGAAAAATATGTGGTGGTGAGTCAAGCTAACTAAATAAATCATGTTATATTGCTCTTTACTGTATCCAAGCGTGTTCACTGTTTTTATTTTATTTGTTTTTGGTTTTGATTGTCTTTTTGTTCGTGCCTGTTGGCGAATTTGCGTAAACTAAAATGCAGGGCCAAAGGGTCAAGTAGAACCCAAAAAGAGCAACAAAAAAAGTGAAAATAAAGGAGAAAAACAAACAGCAACAACAACAATAATAACAATAGGGCCAAGGCAGGTTGACGTCCGATAAAGTTGCAAAATACTTTTGTTGTTTTTCCCCACTTTTTTTTTTTAATGAACTTTGCCAGCAGCCGCGTGTTATCGATAATCGGCAACGATTGGCATGGAAAATTCATTGGTTTGGTTTTGTTTTTTGTCATTACACAGCATTTTTATTTATTTTTTTGTCTTTGCAATAGCAACGGCCGAAAGCGAAAGGGCGAACCACAAATGTACACAGATGAGACGCAAAAACACACACTTGCAAAAATCTTATGCACAATAGAAACGACGGCAAATGCAGCAATTTTTTTTGTCCAGGCGACAAAATTGTCGCAATGAAAGCTCACTTTCTGGAAACTTACAATTTCATTTTCTTAAAACCCCCATATTTTGAAGAAATTAGTTGGCAAGAGATTTAGTTTTCGTCATAAAATTTTATTTATTGTTTAATTTATCTATTTCACTACCTTGTTGCACTTTTAGTCGGGTGGACAGAGAGGCAAGCCGGGTAGTGGAGATCAGAGATCGGAGAGTAAAGAGTTGACATATAAACGGGGGCGAAGAGAAGTGGCTGCAACTCTGAAATTCACTTTTTCGCATAAATTTTGTCTCTATTTTCAGCTTCTTTTTCTGGATTTTATTATGAAATTTTACCAAAAAAAAAATTTCTCTGAAATAATAAAAATTAGGGGCTATTAGAAGAAATTAAATGATTATTAATTCAATGTTTTTTATGTCCCATACACAATTTTTTAATTAATTTTCGTAAATGTTTAATCAATTCAAATTTATGGCTGATTTTCACTGTTAATTTGACCTCAACTGTTGCTAAACATGTGCATTTTGTATGCAGTTTTGCCTTCTCTTTGGGTTGCTTGCACTTTTTTTGTTTTTGTTTTTGTTTCCAGTTGTGTTTGCTGCAGGCCGAAAAGTAAAATGTGTAAAAAAATGTGCTTAGTTTGTTATAACGAAATCCTCGGTACGTAATCAGCGGTGTTACGTTTCAGGCCCCCCCTCCCCTTCCATCCACCTCCACCTCCTCCTCTTCGCTCTTCACTGGCCTGGCCCCTTCTCCTTTGCCCCATGCCTTTCTTCTCTCCTGCTGAGCAAGAGACCGACCGGGAGAGCGAAAGACAGGGGCTCACTTACAAGCGACAAACGGCGACTACTTTTTACGAATATAATTCCATTTCCTGCCAAGAGGCGATAACAGCAACAACGTTTGTCGTTTTATTTTGATCTGTGTTTTGTTCATGTCCAAGTCCGTGCATGTGCATGTGCATGTGTGTGCGCTCATGTCCCGACGCCATTGCTGCAAGAAGAAGAGGCAGATCGAAAGGAGAAGGAGTAGGAGGAGAGCGAGTGTTGCGACCGCTACCTACCTAAAAAAAAAAAAAAACGAAATAAAATCAAAAAAGGCAACTCTTCGGTCTTCAATCCTCAATCCACACTCCTCCTTTTCCTTTAACTCTCAACTTCGCCGAACGTCATTTCATTTCGATTCGATCCGACTCGACTCGATTAATATGCGCAGCCCCATCCCATAAAAAAAACCATCGCAATCGCAGGCTCAAGTCGCGTAGTACCTCTCTCACTCCACTTATCGCTCACTCTGCTTCACCCGCACTGGGGCAGCAACCAGTCTGTGAAGACTTCAATTTTAGCCAGATCAAGGCTTTGGAGAAAAAGACTATAGAACACAAAAGTTATCCTTAGTTTATCCCTAAAATTTATTTGTTTTTTTAATGTCTTTTATTTATTATCAATTATATAGAGGCTTAGGGGAAGAATGTTTTAAAAATATATTCATAAATGTAACAAACAAGAACAATGCACCTGCTAGACCCTGCACAGGACTTGGCTAGAAAATGGCTAGATGGTGATCTCTGAATCTCACGCATAGAACTCGCATTACACACACAGACGCACACAGGCACTTAACTCACGCATGAGGACATGGGTTAAAGCAACAATAAGAAAACGGCAATTGCAACAACAAGAACAACACACATTGCCAGCATATTGACTGGCTGACCCTTAAGATACCCTTAGAGTGATCGAGAGGACCAGATGATGGGGGAGGTGGTAAAAGTAAAAGATCGATGGGGGTTGTTAGTGATGTTATGCGATTGAAACCGAGGGATCACAACCCCTGGAAACGTTTTCAGACTAGTTTACTCCATCCAAAAAAAAGAAGAAAAAGTTGAAGGAATAGAATTATTGAATAGGGTCGATGAAAATGTGGTTTATATAATATATATAGGTACCTGTTTTTTCTGGTCCTTTTTAAGAATATATTTTCCATGGTATAAAAAGAAATATAAAAAGAAGTCCCCTGCAGAATGTTAAAAAATAATACTACATATATTGAGGGGCTTGTGCATTTAATTTTATTTTTAGCTACCAATTGTTTGTCATTATTGTTTCTGTAATAATATAATTGTATTCCACAAATATGTTATAACAAAAAATAGAAACCCAAGAGCGAGCTGCTTTTGTGGTTATATCATTGAAATTTCCAAAGTGTTGCGTTTCCTACTAAGTAAATTACCCGTACTTAATTGTTCTTCAATTATTATTTTTTTCTCCCCTTCCGAAATCGAAATGTTGAATAAACTTATTTGCGTGCAGGCGCTACTGACTGACTGCCTATTATTATTATTATTCATATTATTATTGTT